CGTTAATTTATTTCGTAATCATGTTGTCACCATGATATATGTCCGTTTACAGAAGAACCCTCACTTATTTTTATGATCATTAAAAATTTATATGATTTTTTTGGAATTTCAATTTTTTTTTTTAAAAATTTAATTTTTTTTTTTTAATATTAAAATTTTAAATTTTTGTTTTTTTTAAATTTTTTCATTGACTTTAATTTATAATTTTATGTTTTTTTTTTTAATATTTTAATTTTAATTTTTTTTTTTTTTGCCAACATACAAATAATTAAATACATTTATTTTTTGCTTATTATAATACTCCATATTTTAATAACTGCCATAAATTTAATTTATAATTTACAACCAAATAATAATTCAAATCACCACTCGTTCATAATTCAATTTAATTAACAATGAATTATTTAATAATTATTATTTGTTTTTTTATTTTTTGTATTTCTTTTGGTTTTATTTATAAAAAATATTTCAACAAAACCAACGACAACACCAACTGCAACATCAACACCAACGACAGCATCAACATCACTACAAACGAATGTTTCAACAAAAACAATAATAACAACAAATCCAACCCACACCACAGTGCCCCATTCCGTAATAATTGTGCTGCTCCATTAAATATCCAACAAAATCAACAAAATCAACAAAATCAACAAAATCAACAAAATCAACAAAATCAACAAAATCAACAAAATCAACAAAATCAACAAAATCAACAACAACAACATCAAACCCCACAGTATCCAACTTTTAGCCAAAATTATTGCCGTTATACTTCTGAGAGAGCTCCATTCACCAATCAACCACAGCAACCACAACAACCACTTAATAAATCACCAAGTGCACATTCAAACAACTACCCAGGATTTAATAAGGAAGAATCACGTTATAGTGCCACATGTAATGCCCAATCAACCAATCTTCCAAAATCAGTCCCACAACAACCACATCAACACCCACAACCACAACATCCACAAAATAAATCATCATGTGCACATTCAAACAACTATCCAACTTTTAATAAGGAAGAATCACGTTATAGTGCCCCTGGTAATGCTCAATCTACCAATCTTCCAAAATCATTCCCACAAAACCCACAAAACCCACAAAAGGAATCACCAAATGCACACTCTACCAACTACCCAACTTTTAATAAAGATGAATCACGTTACAGTGCTGGTAATGCCCAATCAAATAATATTCCACAACAACCACAACAACCATTCACATCATCAAGGGCTCAATCAAATAATTACCCATCTTTTAATAGTTCACATTCTCGTTTTAGTACTGCAAGCGAATCAAAACCAGCCAATGCTTCAACATCCTTTCAACAACAAACCCCATACCAACCATCAGAATACCCATCATTCCATAAAGAGCAATCCCGTTATGAGTGTTCTGGTTCATCAACTTTTCCAGGTTTCAATTCTGCCGAAATGAAAAATTGGAGAAGAAAAGTTGGAGAAAGAAAAATAGAAAGGGACCTTGCAGAAAGAGAACGTGCCAATAAAGAAAGAGCAGAACGTGTACGTGGTTATAGAGAAAGATTAGAAAAAGCACGTATTGAAAAAGAACGTATGGCAAAAGAAAAAATAGAAAAAGAACGTGCTGAAAAAGAAAGATTAGAACGTATTGAAAAAGAAAAATTGGAACGTATCGAAAAAGAAAAATTAGAAAAACAAAGAATAGAAAATGAAAAATTAGAAAGAGAGCGTTCAGAAATGGAGTGCAGTATTTGTTTTTCCCAAATCAAAGCCACTCAATTATCCTCAGTAGACTGCTCTCATATATTTTGCTACAAATGCATTTCAAAATGGTCCAAAGATAACAACTCCTGCCCATTATGTAGAAAAAAATATTATTATATTCAAGTAAGTAATTCATACATTAATATTTAAACATTATAATTAAAACTTATATTAATTAATTTATTTTTTTAATTGCAGAGAGAGGGTTGTGTTGCAAAATCAATTTATGATATAAGATTAGAATTATTACGTCATGATCAAACCAACAATGAAGTAAGCTCCGATTCCGATTCCGATAGCGATGATCATTCCGATAATGAATCAAATTCCAATGAAGCTGGCAATGACGATGATCATTACAATTCTAATGAAGATGAAGATCCATCAAATGAACATTTATTAAATAACAATTTACCATTTGATAGATCTGAGTCCGAAGAATCTGTTGACTATATGGACATTGATTAATCTTGGCGATGAAGTTAATAATTAAATCGTTTCATTCAATTTTCTATAATGAGATTGATAGCGATGAAATTATTAATTAAATCGTTACATTGATTTATTAACATCGATGTAATTTAAATAGTTAACCAAATCATTGGAAAAAGCTTCATCAAAGGAATTCAGAATATTCTCATCATTATCAAATTTTCGTAATAAATATTGCAACAATTCGTTCAACTCTTAAAAAAATGCTCAGGAAATGCACCAAAGAAATTATTAATATCAAATAGAAAGCAAAATATTAAGGTAACCATAATGATAACATTAGAATAATATTAATTATAATTGAATATTAATAGAAACTAATATTTTATTTTGAATTTTATTTAGTTTAGTTCCAATTCATTATTATTCAGATTCAATACGTTTATTCAAAGTCTCTAATCAAACATTGGGTTTTGTCCATCAAAAAATCAACACAAAGTGCACTACAGTCATCAGGGTATCCATCAATAAGAACCATATTCACACCTTTCTTCATAAGCTCACAATCATTCAATTCAATCACCACCACGGCAGTACTTTAATGGAGTCACATCAACAACCACACACATAGTCATTATCCAGCAGTATAACGACACTTTACCACCATTTCAATCAATTATAATAGAAATACAGACCATTTCATTTATAACAATAATAATATAATAAAAATCAAATGTTTATACAATATAATAAAAAAAATAAAAATTATTTTCATTTTATTTTATATATTTTACATATACTAAATTGAATATTAATTTGAATCTGCACAACAGAATGAAATAATTAATTTATTTATTTTTAAAATAAATAAAAAAAAATTAAATTTTAATTAAATTTTTTTATAAAAAAAACGATTTTTTTTTTCCATTTTTTTCTTAAAAAAATCTTTTATATATTATAATAATAATAATAATTACAATAATAAAATGTATTTAAAGGGAATAGGCTCAAAACTTTTAAATAGATTCACACTATATCACACTCCCAAATATACCACCTCATCAGTATTTTCATCCCCAAATAATAATATTCCTAACCCATCATTATTTCAACAACAAATTACAAATAATAATAATACCTTATTAATAAATAACAATGCAACCACTAATGTATCGACTAAAACCACAACAACTAAAAACCATATACCAAAATTAATTGGTAATTTGGTCACTTTAAGAGAGTTAAAAAGAGAAGATAGAGAGGCATTGGTTGAAGCAGCTAAAGATGGTGAATTATATAATTTAAAATTCACTATTGTTCCATCAGAAAATACAATTGATAAATATTTAGATATTGCACTAGCACCAAACAATGCAATGATGCCATTTGTAATCATTGATAATAAAAGTGGTAAAATTATTGGATCTACTCGTTATTGGAAAGTTGATAGCAACCATAGAAAATTAGAAATAGGCCACACATGGTTAAGCAAATCGATGCAAAGATCAGGAGTTAACACAGAATGTAAATATTTACTTTTAAAATATGCATTTGAAGATTTAAATTCTGTCAGAGTTCAATTTACAACTGATGAATTGAATGAAAAATCAAGGGATGCCATTCTCAGAATCGGAGCAAAATTAGAAGGTACAGTGAGACATGAAAGAATAATGCCCGATGGTAGAAAAAGAAATTCATTAAGATTCAGTATCATCGATCCTGAATGGGAAGCTATAAAACTAAATTTAGAAGAAAAGATGACCAAAAATTATTTTTAAAAAACCCAACAAAAATTATATTTAAAAAACCCTGCAAAAATTTCTATATATAATTCTTTTTTAAAAAAAAAAAAGTTTGTATATATTAAAGTAAATAGTTAAAATATTTATAATAAAATTTTTTTCTTTTTTTTTTATTTTTTTTTTTATTTTTTTTTTTTATTAAAATATCTGTTTCGATATGAATGGGGAAATTACGAACACCTCTCCATAAAAATTAAAACAAAAATTCAAAAAAAATAAAGAAATTTAAAATAATCACAAATTCCCAAAACAAATATCTAATTTTTTGGAATTCAATTATTTATTTATATTTATTATTATTTTTTTTTTTTTTTTTTTTTTTTTTTTTTTTTAAACCCCATTTTTTTTTTTAACCCCCAATTTTTTTTTTTTTTAAAAAAAAAATTTTAAACTTAACACCAAAATAAAAATTTTTAAAACTTTTTTTAACCCATAAAAAAAATCAAAGGGTTAACTTTTTTTTTTTTTTTTTTTGGATTTTTTTATTTTTTTATTTTCTTTTTATTTTTTTTTTATTTTTTTTTATTTTTTTTTATTTTTTTTATTCATTTTTAAAATAAAATCAAAATAAAAAAAAAAAATTAATTTAAAAATTCAATTTTCAAAAAAAAAAATACCACGCTGTATAACAATAAAATTATAGATAATAATAATAATAAATTATTACGCAACAATAAATAAATTAATAAATAGATAAAAAATGGCCAATGCGAAGGCATTATTAGGATCGGGAATAATATTATCAGTTCTTGGTACTGTTCTTTTTATTCTTTCATTTGCATTATTTCCATCACTAATTAATACAGCAACAAGGAATGCGGTAATAGATGCTGTTGTTGTAGATTCACCTGTATGTAGAAAATTTTATAAATTTATTAAATATACTAATAGTGTTATAAATATTAATTATAAATATATTTTTTTTTATTACAGAATGCCCAAAGATATAGTGATTGGGAAGGACAACAATCAGTTGAAAATTTATATTTACAATATTATTATGCATGGAATTTAGTAAGTTTAGGTTAAATGTTATATATTTTTTGAAAGCAATATTCAAATGTATTAATTTTTTTCTTTATAATTAAAAGACAAACCCAGAACAATTTATTCAAGGTAAAAAACCAATTTTTAATCAAGTAGGACCATTTAATTACAAGTACGAGTATGAAAATGATAATGTAACCTTTTTAGATAATGGAAATTTAGTAGAGTACACACAAGTTAAAAAATATATTTATTTAGAAGATTCGCCATTTGATCCAACCCAGGTATCAATTACCAATATTAATCCAGCATTTTTAGGTCTAATGTTCCAAATGTCCGCAATTTCTTCTTTGATAGACTTACCAGCTGAGGATATTTTATTTGCAATTGGCGGTTGTGGTCAAATGAAACTATTTTTAGAATATTTAAACTCCGACACTTTTACAGAAATTGCATATTTTGTTAGTAATCCAGCCTTGTATTTAAACCAATACAATGCCATTTTGAAATCGCTTTCAAATAATCAAATTTACTTTTTTGAACAATGGGCAAACGGTACAAGCACTCCAACTAAAGGACATGGTTGGAATGGTATGTTGGTTTCATTTAACTCGTCAGAGCCTTCCGGAATTACATTAGAATCTGCCCAACAAATATTTAATGAAGCTAATGAACTATCAATTATCAACCAAAATAGTGGCTACACTACATGGATTAATGCAATGTTAGAAGATAAATCATCAATCGAACTCTTAAAGAATAATTTAAATATAACAGAAACTCAAATCTCTACAATTATCGACTGGTGGATTAATTCTTTTGCACAAGTTTATACAAACCCATTTTTCCTCAAGCAATGTGATATCCCCGATTTAACTTATTTGGGTGTTTGCCAATTCGTTTCTGCTATTCCTCTTGGTGGTAAATCAATAGTTAGTATTGATTTTATTCAACAACCATATACTCACGGTCCAATCGAAATTCCATTATCTACAACCATCAAATTAGATGTTAAACCGGTAGTAGCTTATCAAAATCTTTTCAATCCAAATAGCGCAACCAATATTTTAAATCTTAATGGTATGATTGCATTTATTGAATCTGTTAAATCATTTAGTTTTTCAGACTATAATATTTCCTTAGAAGATGGTTTATTAATTATTACATATTCAACTATTGATGTAAGTTTATTTTTTTTCTAAAGAAAAAAATCAAAAAAAAAACAAAATATCTAACTAATATCATATTTTATTAACTCTAGATTTCAGCATCATATACATTTGATACAGTTCAAGAATTATATAATACTACAAGTGGTTTGGTAGTTACCAGAACAGTAGACGAATGGTTATGGACATGCGAAGATGGTATTTTAGATTTTTTAGGTGTAGATCAACCATGCGCTTTACAACAAAACAATACAGTTAATAAACCATCAATAGTATTTACAGGTAAAGACGATCTAGCAATGACAAATGTTTATTTTGAATTCCAAGAGCAAACAACCTTAACATGTTGGAATGGCCCAGTCAATGTAAGCGCACCAACAGAATCTGGTCAATTTCCACCACTTCAAGGCATTCAAGATACTATTCAAATCTTTGAGGAGAATACATTCCGTCCAGTTTTGTTAATTAGAGATGGCCCATCACAAGTTGAAGGTATTGATACCCAAAGATATTATTTACAAAATAATAGTTTCCCAGTTTCATCAGTTTTCAATACTCTCATCCCAGGCTTTGCAAATTTAACTACAATGCAGAATCTTCCATTATATGTCTCCCTCTGGGATATGTACGAAGTACCGCCACAATATAGTACTAACTATATTCAAGGTTTAAATCAAACATGGGCCAGTGCTCAAGTACCATTAGACTTGGAACCAATCACTGGTAATGCACTCTATTATAACCTCAAGCTTCAAATTAATTTGGCTCTTCCAAACAACTCTAAATGGTTCAGTAAATCGTCAATGTACAATAAAACTGTTCCAGAAACCATCACAAATGGTGGTTATTATTTCCCATCTTTTAAAATAGGCCAAACTGCTCAACCATCAGATTCAAATGTAAATTTATTAAAATCACAATTTAAGGAAATGAAAACCGTTCAAGTTGCCCCAGTTATTATCTTTGCTGTTGTTGGTGGTGTTTTAGCAATTGTTGGTGTCACCATGGGTATTTTTGGTTATAAAAAATTGAAAGCCCAACGTGAAGGATATAAAGTTATAGCATAGTCTCAACAGATTATCAATTTAATTATATTAACATATATTTTATTAAATTAATAATATTTCATTATTAAATCCCAAAGAAATAAATAAAAAATTATAAATTATAATTTTTAAAAAAAAAAAAAAAAAAAAAAAAAAATAAATAAATAAATAAATAAACATTAGATTTAAGTTTGAATTGGTAATACCATCAAAATTAATATTGTATTCCTTTGAATAACTTAAAAATATAATAATAATGTTTTTAATTTAATTTACAAAAATTAAAAAATAATTTTTATTTTTATTTTTTTGGGGGTATTTAAAGGAATATTTTTTTTTATTTAATTATACACTAAAGCAGAATTTTAAAGACACTTAATAATAATTAAAAAAAATATTACTATTGCATTAAACAATTTTTTTAAAAAATTGATAGGAATTCATTATGTTTATTTTTATTTAGATTTTTTATTTGAACATATAGTGCCTAACTGAAAAGGTAAGTAGGTTTAAAAAATGCTATAGGTTTCCCTTTCCCACTGATTGTATATCTGCTCCAAGTTGCTCTTTTGTGCTCTAAGTTGTCCGTTTGTGCTCCATGTTGCTCTCTTTATGCTCTAGGTTGCTCGTTTGTGCTCTAGGTTGCTCGTTTGTCCTCCAGGTTGCTCGTTTGTGCTTTAGGTTGCTCTTTTGTGCTCCAAGTTGCTCGTTTGAGGTTGCTCGCTTGTGCTTTAGGTTGCTCTTTTGTGCTCCAGGTTGCTCGTTTGTGCTCCAGGTTGCTCTTTTGTGCTCCAGGTTGCTCGTTTGTCCTCCAGGTTGCTCTTTTGTGCTCTAGGTTGCTCGTTTGTGCTCCAGGTTGCTCGTTTGTCCTCCAGGTTTCTCGTTTGTGCTCCAGGTTGCTCGTTTGTGCTCCAGGTTGCTCCTTTATGCTCCAGGTTGCTCGTTTGTCCTCCAGGTTGCTCGTTTGTCCTCCAGGTTGCTCGTTTGTGCTCCAGGTTGCTCGTTTGTGCTCTAGGTTACTCGGTTGTCCTCCAGGTTGCTCGGTTGTCCTCCAGGTTTCTCGTTTGTGCTCCAGTTTGCTCGGTTGTCCTCCAGGTTTCTCCTTTGTGCTCCAGGTTGCTCGGTTGTCCTCCAGGTTTCTCCTTTGTGCTCCAAGTTCCGTTGTTCTATTCTTTCTCTCCAAAGTTTCTTCCCCCTGTTACCTTTACTGCAATATGATGTTCAAAGTTGCTTTAATTTGCTCTACACTCTCCTATCCACAATTTCCCACTTGTAGTTCGCTCCATTTTCTTTAATCCTTTTCCACAAGCTTAGTCTGTTTCAATTACAACTTATGGTTCACAAGAAAATAAAAGAATTTAAAATTATAAAATATTTTTTTAAATAGATCTTTATTATAACAATTGTTTATTTTTAATTAAGTTTTTTAGCAGTTAATATTGGTGATGTTTCAAAAGTGCTTAATTCGTCTTGACCTAATAAAACCATATCACTTTCTTGATTTTCGACTTTTAATTTGTTTCTTTGTAGAATCTTAAGTATAAGGTATGAAGTTGAAGCTTGAGCGACACCCCAAAAGACTGAACCAATATATGGAGTTCTTAAAGCAAACATCCAACAGAAACTAAAACCAAAGATCCATCCATAATAACGACGATATATGTAGAGTTCTTGTTTTACATCTGGAAGCTTGACGAAATAGACTTCTAACAATTCTTTACCGAGTGAGTTTGCAGCCATAGATGTCTTTAATATATCTGCTGCAATGGATTTTGTTGATGGAATTAAACTGAGCAATGAAAGAATGAATGCACTACCTTGACCCAATGGTTGATAACTATAATAAAATTGGGCTACTGCTAAAACAAAATCACCAATATATGGTATAAAACTAAATACAAATACAAGAATACCCATAACTGCTAATTTACTAAAACGTTTTAAATAGCCAATTAATGGATAGGTTTTTAATACTAATATATAAAAACAGTTGAGTAAGTCAAAGGAATAAATTTATAAAAAATTGTAATAAAATAATATTCACCTTTACTATTTTTTAAAAAATTTGATAATTTAGCATCTTGGGATTCTAAAGCATAATTAAACATCTAAATGAAAGTATTAGTAGCTACTAATTAATAAATGACTACTTTAATTTAGAATTAAACTTACATCTTCATTAAATGAAGGTAAAACATAACGAAGAATACCAATTACACCAATTGGAATAAAATAAGCTATACCTTGAATTAAATGTCTGGTTTCGAGCATATTATCCAATTCGATTGATTCCAAGTCTAAACCAAAGTAAGATAAAATGATGAGGAATAGTCTGATTGGAAAAGTTAAAAAGAAGACCAGTAAATAAGATGCTAAAACACTAAAGAGAATGATTTTTAATGTTGAAAGGAATGCTTTTCTAACCTTTTCTTGCTTGAATGTTACTAGAGTACCCTGGATGAAGCAAAATACACCTTTTAAAAGCTTTACCCAAAAACCCCCAGAAAATGGAGTTTTTCTACCTGATACACTTTTCATTTTTTTTCTTGAAACATTTTCATTTTCACGTTGTGATTTGTTTTTAATGGCATCATTTTTTATAGTTTCTTTAACTCCATGGACCATTGACTTTAATGATTTTGGTGATTTGCTTTCATCACTTTCTTTGGTTTCAACGGTATCTTCACCATTTTTAGATGGGAGCATCCCCTTAAAAAGACTTATTGTTTCCTCTAAATACTTTTCCATGGGTTATATTATATACAATTATATTATTTTTATTATATTATTAAATAATTATTATAATTGTAATTACTGTCAACAATAAAAGTAAATTCAAAAAAAAAAAACTTATAATTTGATAAAAATACTTAAAAAGATTTTTTTTATTTTTTTTTTATTTTTTTTTTTAATTTTTTTTTTTATTTTTATTTTTTTTTAATTTATTTTTTTTTTTTAATTTTTTTTATATTTTATTTTTTTTAATTAAAAATTACAAACTATTTTATAAGGTAATATTATTGTTTTGTTTTATTTTTTTATTTTTTATTCATTCATTCGCTCATTCATTCATTCATTCAATAATTATTTATTATTTATTTAAACAATTATTCATAAACACTATTAAATTTAAAATAATTTTACATAATTTTTTTTATTTTTTTTTTTTCTGACACTGCAATAAATCATATTATTAAAAGTCATATTATTATAAATATTCTATATATATATCAATAAATTAATATAAAAATCTCAATTTTTATTAAGTTTTTAACATAAATTATAAGAAAATAAAAACAAAGAAATGACACAGAATACAACAGACGATCGTTTAACAAATTATACAGAGGAAGAACTCGAAAAATTATCAGTTTCAAAATTAAAAGAACTTATTGTCAATGCAGGTGGTAGTCATGCATCATGTTTTGAAAAAAGTGAAATTATAGAAAGAGCTAAAACTGTAATTATCAAATAAATTTAATAATATCAAATATTAATATAATATTAATTAAAATTTTATTATATTAATAACCCTACTTAGATACGTGCATCAATGCAATCAATAGTTAAGCCAAACCACGAAACTGTACGTGAAGTTAAAATCGATTATTATGAATTATTAGGAATCGAAAAAACTGCAACTAAAAATGAAATTACTAAAGCCTATTATAAATTAGCAAAAGAATACCATCCAGATAAAAATAAGAATGATGCATATGCCGAAGAAATGTTTAAGAAAGTTAGTGAAGCCTATCAAGTTTTATCAGACCCAGAAAAAAGAAAGAGGTATGTTATTTATGAATCATTCCATATAACAAATACTTTTAAAAAATATAACTTTTATTAATAATTTTTATACTCTTAGATATGATGAATATGGTATGGATTCTGTCAATGAAATGGAAATTGACCCAATGGAATTATTTAGAATGATTTTTGGTGGTGGATTATTCCAAAATTATTTTGGTGATTTATCATTTTATGAAGTATTTTCAAAACCAATGGACGAATCACCAGAGGCACAACAAAGAATGCAAGAGGAGGCAATTAAAAAGAGAGAAGAAAGGGTTAAAGAACTTTCTAAACACTTACTTATTTTAATTGAGCCATATGTACAAGGCAATAAACAAGATTTTGAAAAAATGATGGTCGATCAAGCAAAAGAGATGGCTATGGCACCAGGTGGCCAAGATTTACTTTCACTTTTAGGTTATATTTATATTCAAGAAGCAAAACAACACTCATTCTTTGGTTTTATTCACGAAATCTCCGAAAAAGGTCACAAAGCTAAAGAAATGATTTCAACTATTTCTGCAGCCGTTAAAATGCAAAAATCATTACAAGAAGAAGGATTGAACGAATCAGAGTCAATTCCACAAAGCAAACAAGAGAATATGTTGAAAGAAGGTTTGAAATTAATTTGGAAGATTGGTAGATTAGATATTGACAGTATTGTAAGAGAAGTCTGTGAAACAGTTTTAGCCAAAGGTGTTGAAAAGAAGACATTAAAACTTAGAGTTGATGCCGTCAAATCTTTAGGTAAAATTTTTGAAAAATATGGTAAACCAAGTAATGATATGAATGATTTATTTTCAAAATTATCCCCACCAATGAACTCACCACCACAACAACAACCAAATGTAACATCAACTACTTCAACTACATCCACTACATCAACAACGTCAACAAACCCAACATCACCAAAATAAATTTTAAAAAAAAAAAAACAATTAAAAAATTAAAAAAGGAAAAAGGAAAAAAAAAAAAGGAAAAATATAAATATAAATTTTATTAATATTTACCCCATTAAATATCAATAAATTATTCTTTACATATATAACTAAATGCAAAGAATTTGAAAATATATGTTCAACAAGATCTTTTTATTTTTTATTTTAATTCACTTTCAGAAAGATATTATTTATTTTTTTCTTGTTTGATAAAATCTTTTTTTTTTTTTAATTTTTTTTAATTTTTTTTTATTTTTTTTTTTTATTTTTTTAAATTTTTAAATTATTTTTTCTTTTTTTTTTTTTTTTATTTTATATTTTTTTTCATTATACTTATATATAAAACATATTGTTTAAAAAGGATAAATTTTATATAAAAAAAATTATTGGCTATTTTCATAGTAATAGGGAATTTTTGTATTTTTAATACATATTTTGATATACACCAACATATGAAATATTTTATTTTAATTAATAATAATAATAATAAAAACAACAACAATAATAATATAATTACTAGTAATAATAACAATAGTATTAATATTTATAATAATATTTAATAATCATACAAAAATATACAATTAAATAATAAATCATCCCGAAATATAAAAATTTAATAATTTCTTTTTAAATTTAATAATAATAATAATATATATATATATATAAATAGTTTTATTTTTTTTCTTAATAATAATAATATAATAATAATTTTTCAAATAATATGAACTATATAAAAGATTTACCACCAAGATGGCATATAATTGGTAAAGATGGATTATGTTGTGAAGGTTCATGCAATAAAAACAATATTAATGGTAATGGAAGTAATATAGCTAAAACAGCAACTTTTAATACAAGTGGTTTATATTGTAACGATGATGATGACGATATGAAAGGCCCAGTGGATACAACAAATTGGATAGTTAAAGGTCAAATTATGACAGGTGAATATCCTGGTAACACTGAAGATGCTATTCATTTCAAAACATTATCAACTTTATTGGATAGTGGTATGTATTTTTATTTATTTAATACTAAAAAAGAAATTAAAAAAAAAAAGGGTTATTAACAATAAGTATATTATATAGGTATAAGAGTCTTTGTTTGTTTACAAGAAGAACAAGAATTAAAAAATTTTAGACCATATAGAGAGGACATTTTAAAATTGGCAAAAGAAAAAGGTATTGGTGAAGATTATATTACCTTTATTCACTTTCCAATTGAAGATGGAGGCATCGCAGAGAACAGTGAAGAATTGGCAGATCTAATCGAAAGACTACTAGAATTGCTCTCAAAAGATAAATCCAATAAAATATATTTACATTGTTGGGCTGGTCGTGGAAGAACAGGTATTGTTTCCGCCTGTTTATTGGGTCGTTTATATCAAGTATCCGGTCTTGAGGCCCTTAGACGTATCCAAGATTGTTACCAACAAAGAATTATTGGATGTGGTGAATCTCCTGAATACCACCCACAAAGAATGCAAGTAATTAAATATTTAAGACAAAAAAATGAACAATTACAAAAGTCTCAAGAATTACAAAAGTCACAAGAATTACAAAGATCTCAAGAATTGCAAAGATCACAAGAATTACAATGATCTCGAAAATAAAACACCAACAGCAACACCAACATCAATAATAAAAAAAAATATTTATACATTAAACATTTTTTTATCCTTTTTTTTTTTTCACCCAACCCTTTTTTTAAAAAAAAATAAAAAAAAACAGTGTTATGTATCTAACTTGGTAGTTAGCCCTTTCTCATTTTTATGTTATTTTAATTTTATTTTTTTTAAATTATTTTTTTTTTTAATTTTAATTTTTTTTAATTTTTTTTTTTTAATCAAAAAATTAACCACAGTATTTAGTATTATTACAACTTTTTTATTGCACAAACGATAAAATAGAATTTTTTCTTATAAATAAATAAATAAATAAATATATAGATATAAAAGAAATATATAAAAAAAAAAAAATATTAATTGTAAATATTAATTTTTTTTATTTTTTATTTTTTTTATTTTTTTTATTTTTTATTTTTTTGGGAATGTTGTCCCATTGTAATTGTGTTTTATATATCTCACAAATAAACACACACACATATTCACTCATTCACTCACTCACCCACTCCAATAATTATTTTTAACCCTAAATTTAATTTTATTTAAATATAATAATATTTTATTACTTTTTTCTCACTCATACAAAATTAATATTTTATTGATATATTCAATTGTCAATGCCATCAAACAATTATTGTTCGCTATTTTAACACTAAAATACCAAAACACAAAACACAAATTCATACACCAATAACAACAATAACACTATAAAAACTATAATTATAATAAGAACCTTACATTTATTTATTTAATAACAATTGTTATTAAATAAATAAAAGAAAAGAAAAAAAAAAAAAAAAAATATTGAATAGTCTGTGTATTTTCACTCTACCCCATTTTTGTTTTTTTTTTTTTGGTGTATCAATATTATTATTAAAACACAAATATCATTATATATTTTTTTAAAAAAATTAATTTAAAAATATTTTTTTAATTTTCTTTTTTTTTTTTTATTAATTTAATTTAATTTTTTATTTTTTTTATTTTTATAATAATATATATATAATAAATTAATTTATATAAATATATAAAATTGTAAAAATTTTTATATCTTAAAACATATAAATAATAATAATATTTTTGTTTGATATATTTTTTTTATATTTGTGTGTTTTTAAAAATTTAACTTTTTTTTTTATTTTTTTTTTTTTCAAACTATGATCAATTATAATAAAACTAATAGTAGTAAAATTTTAAATATATTTAATAATATAAACAAAGAAAGAAATTAAGAAGGAAGAAAGGAAAGAAAGAAATAAAGAAATAAAAATCTAAACAAAGAAAGAAAGAGTCTTTTTTTTTATTTAAAGGTGTGTGTCAAAAATTTTAATTTTAAATATTGTTTTATTTTTATTTTAAATTTTTACACTATACACATAATAATTAAATATTCACTTTAAAAAACAAACACAACATCGATATTTATAATAATATAATAAATATAAAAACGAAAAAAAGGGGCTTGTATAATAAAACATACTCGTCCTATTTATTGTATTGTATGTATGTATGTTGTGTATTATATAATATATTATATAGTGTTGTGTTTTATATTGTATTTTTTATTTATTATTTTTTTTTTTTTTTTGTTATTTGTTGTTATTGTGTTTTTAAAAATATTATAATCTCAAACTCCTTACCAACGCCAATTTTTATTTATTTTAAATAGATTATCTTAATTCGATATAATAGTTTGTTTATATTTATTTATTTATTTTAATTTAAATTAATAATAATATTTATTTTTTTTTGTTTTTTTTATTTTTTTATTTTTTTATTATTTTTATTTTTTAAAGGATAAACCTAATAATTTAGAAAACAATAAAACCACAATTTTTAAAATAATATTTATAATAATAAATAAAAATCTTATGAAAATAAAAAAAGAAAAAGAAAAACAACATCAACATCAACAAACTAATGATTTTTTATAAATAATTTGCAGGTTTTAAATATTCAAAAGTAGTTATCAAAGAATTGAGGAAAAAAAAAAGGAAAAAGGAAAAAGGTAAAAGAATTTCACTTTTAAAAAAACAACAAATTTAAACAAATAACAAAAATCAAAAAAAGGAAGGACACATTTTTGAATTAAATCATAAATAGTTTTTAAATCTTCATTGTAAAAAGTAATTTTATAAAAAAAAAAAAAATCAAAAAAAAAAAATCAAAATGGGCAGATTATTCAAAACATATCTTAATGGACCAAATATCTTTTGTTGTGTAAATTGTAAAACCCATTTAACTTTACATGAACAATTGATTTCAAAGGTAACCTATTTATTGAACATATAATATTTTAAAAACAATAAATTTAACTAATTTTTAAACCTAATTAGCAATTTCAAGGAAGACATGGTACAGCTTTTTTATTTGGGGACTGTGTAAATGTTAGTGTAGGACCAAGTGAAGATCGTACCTTGACAACTGGCATGCATATAGTTGCAGATATATCTTGTATTGATTGCGGTGATATTTTGGGATGGAAATATGTATGTACATTGGAGGAGTGATATTATCCAAATAGAATCAATGATTGTTTAAAACTAACATTTAATTTTATTTTTAAAATCAAACTTTACTATAGGAATTCGCAAAAGAAGAATCTCAAAAATATAAGGTTGGAAAATACATTTTAGAAAAAGCCAAAATTCAAAAAGAAGTTCATTTTGGTGATCCACATCACATGACTATGACATTAGATAATAGTGTTTTATATTAACAGTACTAATAGCAACAACATTAATAATATATAAAAAATCTATCCATCACATCATCACTATTATACTATATTTATACCATTACAACTATATAGCAAATATCAATAACCATCACAACAGTAGCATTAATTAATTTTGAAGTTTCAAGTTTTTGTTTTATACACTTAATTTTTCTTTTTTTTTTTTTTTTTCAATATACTGTAAATAGTTTTAACAACACTCACACTTGTTTTTTATTTATTTCTTTAGGGATCACTTTACAATTTAAAAAAATCACAATACATTCACATTAATAGCTCTCAGACTTTGACTTTTTTTTTCACAATCAAAAATACCCTTTACAAACTTTTCGAATTATAACAACAACTCATCATTTTTAAAAAAAAATAAAAATAAAAAAAATAAAAATAAAAATAAAAATAAAAATACTATGAACACACAATTTAACCATGTGTGCATACATAGATCAGTCTTTTATTTTTATAATTTTAGAATATTTATTTATTTTTATTTTGTTTATTTATTTATTTATTTAAGATAATTTTTATTTTATTTGCTTTTTTGGGTGGCTTCTTTATTTAGATATTTATAAAATTAAAATAAAAATAATTAGTAATATGATTGAATTTAACAAAGCTAAAAGGATCGGACATTTGAATTGGTGGATATTATTTTGGGATCGGATTTTTTTGAACTTCTCCATAAATTGATTTTTATTTGGTTTTTATTTTTATTTAAAATATTATGATATCATTTTTAAATGAAAAAGATAAAAACAATAATATTAACAACAACAACTAAAAAATAATAATAAAATGAAATTTATAAAAAAAGAGATACCCCCACCTAATTTATATAAATATTAATATTTATATATAATTTTTTTTTTAATTTTTTTGTAAATTTTTTTTAATTTTTATTTTTTTTATTTTTTTTTTATTTTTTTTTTTATTTTTTTTAATTTTTTTTTTTGAATTTAATATTTTTTAATTTATTTTTCTTTTATTATTAATTTTATATTTGTGATATATATATAGTAGAGGTAAAAAAACAAAATATAATAAAATCATCAATAATTCTATACAAATTCAATAAAATTCTCATACATAAAATAAAAATAATATTTTTCTATCTCATTAAAATAAAATAATAAAAATACATATACAAACAAAAATAAACAGCATAAAATAATACAATAATATTAACCTTTTTATTTTTTATTTTTTTATTTTTTTAAAAAAAATAAATAAATTATTATATATATTTACAATTTAGAAATTTAGAAAAGAAAAAAAATGGTAAAAATTAATATTAAATCTTCAACAGATAATAAATTTGATGTTGATGCAGAATTAAATATAACTGTAGCCGATTTTAAAAAGATTATTGCACAAAAATCAAGTATTCCAGCAGATCAACAAAGAATTATTTATTCTGGTAGAGTTTTAAAAGATCATCAAACTCTTGAAGAGTTAAGTAAGTGTGGAAAATAAATAGAATATCTTATATATTCAGTTGAACAAAAAATAACCCATAGAAAAATATTAATATTATTTACTTTTATTAGAAATTCAAGAGGGTCATACAGTACATTTAGTACGTGGTGGTAATAGTGCTGCCCCACCTCCACCACAACAACAAGTACCAACACCAAATAATACACAACCACAAAGTATTCCAGGTATGCCACAACATATTAACGAAATGATGAACAATCAAATGTTTCAAGATGCAATAAACTCACCAATGATGGATAGTTTCTTTGAAAATCCAGAAATCTTTAGACAGATGATAATGGGAAATCCAGAAATGAGAGAAGTTCTTAACAACAATCCAGAAATGTCACATATTTTCAATGACCCAAGACAACTTCGTCAAACTTTAGAAATGATGAGAAATCCAGAATTAATGAGAGAAATGATGAGAAATGCAGATAGAGCTATGATTAATATTGAAAATCATCCAGAAGGTTTCAATTTATTACGTAGAATGTATACTAATATTCAAGAACCATTAATGAACGCCGCAAATCAACAAGCAATGTCTCACAATCAAACAAACTCAAATCCTGTTCAAGAAAATACTGGTCCAAACCCAAACAATAGTCCATTACCAAATCCATGGTCATCATCACCATCACCATCAACAACAACAGAAAACAGCAACAATAGCACAACAGGTACAAACAGATCCCCAAATCAACAGACCCCATTCCCAAATTTATTTGGTGGTAATAGATCACCACAATCAAACAATGGTTCAACAGGAAATACTAATAGCAATACAAATAATCCATTTGGTAATATGTTTGGTGGTATGGGTGGAATGGGTGGAATGGGTGGTAATGGATTCGGAGGACTCTCACCAGAATTAATGAGAAACATGATGAGTTCTCCTCAAGTACAAGAAATGCTCAACAACCCAGCTATGCTCGAACAAATGATAAATATGAACCCACAAATGAGGGAAATGATGGAAAGTAACCCACAAATGAGAGATATGTTTAGAAGTCCACAATTTATGAATATGCTTTCAAATCCAGATAATCTTAACGCAATGATGCAAATACAACAAGCTATGCAAACTCTTCAAAATAATGGTGTTAGCCCATTTGGTGGTGGTATGGGTGGTATGGGTGGTATGGGTAATAATAGTGCTGGTGGTATGGGTGGTATGGGTGGAATGGATCCATTCAGTATGTTAAGTGGTATGGGTGGTATGGGTGGTTTTGGTGGCATGGGTGGTATGGGTGGTATGGGTGGTATGGGTAATAATAGTAGTACACAAAATCAAGAACCACCTGAACAAAGATATAGCGTTCAACTTACTCAATTAGAAGAATTGGGCTTCACTGACAGAGCTGCAAATATTACCGCTTTAACCCAAACTAATGGAAATATTAATATGGCCATTGACCGTTTATTAAGATAAATATTTTAAATAAATAAATAAATAAAAATAAAATAAAAAATAAAAAATAAAAAATAAAAAACAAAATCTTTTTGTGTATATCACCGAATCTGCTATTATTTTAGTTTAGCTTAATGACCATTAAAATATTTCATTGAAATAATTACAAATGATTTGATGTTATTTCTTATAGAAACAAAATGGAAAAAAAAATCTGCAAAAAATTTTTTGAAACTGTAAAAAAAATAAAAAACTATTTTTTTCTGTGCATCATTATCCTTTATTTAAAAAAGATTTAAATCTAAATCACAAAATGAATAAATTATTTAGAAATAATATAGTTTTAAACTATTTGAAATATAATAGAATCACCAATATTAAAAATAGTTCCTTTAATAATAGTATTAATAATGTTTTTATTTCAAGTATAGAAAAAAGATATTTTTCATCATCACCCTATATTACAGATGATCCAAGTGTTATAAAAAAACTACAGACTATAAAACCTGATCAGCCAATGGATGAAGAAGTGGTAAAAATTCATACTGAATTATTAAAACCAAACAAAAGTGAACTAACACCAATCCAAAGATACAAACATTCACTTTTACTTTTTTCAATAGAACAACAAAGCAATAGAACATCACATGTAAGTCCATTAACAAATCTTTAATTTTTAATAGTATATTTAATACTAATTTTTATTAAAAAAAAAAAAGACATATAAAAATTTAGAAAAAATATGGGATTTATTAGATTATAATAATTTAGAAGAAAAAGATAAAGTACATATAATACATTATATAGTCCTTCGATTTAAAATAGCATACCAAAGTAAAAGATTATTACCAAAAGCCCACGAAACAATAAAATCGTATATTAAATATATTAAAGAAGCTGAAGAGTCTAAAGTGCACGAGTTCCATCCAATCACATTATTGGCATATTTAATAGCATCTCATCTCGGTATGTGGAATGAAATGGTTTATTTAAAATCTATCTTTCACCCAGATCAACTAGATTGCCTAGAGAATATGAAACATAATTTTGAAACCAATTTTAACTATGATGCAATAGATAAAATTATTTTCAATAAAGACCCATTATTTTCCTTCAAAGATCCCCAACTTTTCGATATTACAAAACCAAGCCAACCACTCAACGAAAGTAAATTTACAAATTTTATAGTATATGATGTTATTGAAGAAGGAACCAAAGATTATTCTGTCAAGACCATTGGAGAAATAGATAATTCACTATCCAATGCTATAATCGATAGAGTTCATACCCAAAATAAAGAATTTGAAAAAAAAGGAAGAGCAGATAAAGATGGCTATATTAGAATATGTAATTATTAATTTAATATTTTATAAACCAATATATTTTATTAACTTTTTTTTTTTAAATATTATTAAAGATGGAAACTCACACATTACTTTTTTGGGTACAGTAGTTGCTTGGGATATTCACCACATAATATATGGAGGTATAATTAGCCAAGATAAAAACAGAGTTCAACTTGCTTGTGATTTTCCTGATCAATTACACTGTAAAGATATAAAAGTTCATCACCAATATGACTATACCATTAGCCACCCTGTTCCAAAAGATGAAACATACCTGTTACTTGAAGGAACCGAAAAAATAATTGAAATCTTTTTAAACAAAAACAATTCAAAGAAAATTCATGAAGGCAAATGTAAATTGCTTTTAAAAAAGAGAGAATTATTGCACGAAAAAAAATAATTAAAATAAAGAATCAAAATCATTATTTTAAAATAATCATTTTTCACATAATTCAAAAAAGCCAATTTTTTCTTTTTTTTTTTATTTTTTTTTTTTTAATTTATTGAAAAAATATTTTTTAAATTAGATTTTTATAAAAATTTATAAAAATATATATATATTATTTTTTTAACAAAATCATAAATAAAAATGGAAAAAATATATTTGTTTTTTTTAAGGATTTTTAATTTTATTTATTTATTTATTTCAAATTTTTTCAAACAACCAACAACTGTTGAAACTAATATAAATAATAATCTCATCGATCAAAATAATAATATTGACGATTCAATTAAAAATTACAATGATAATAATTTAAATAATAATACTTTAAAAAAAAGAAATAAAGAAATTAATAATACAGATAATTTCGAAACTATTAAACAAGACAATATTCCAATTATCAATGAAAATAAAGTTATAATTAAAAATGAAACTGTAGAAAATAACCAAGAAATTATAACCAATAACGATACAGAAAATATAACCGATAATGACACAGAAATTATTGCCGATAATGACATAAAAATAGACACCATAATTAACAACGACATCGAAACTATACACAGTATTGACTCAGGAAGTAGTGAAAAAAATATAACTATTAACGAAACAGAAATAATTACCAATAATGACCCAGATGCTACAGTTAATATTGACTCAGACACTATAATTAATAATGAAAACGAAACTATACCCAGTATTGACTCAGAGAGTAATGAAGAAAATAAAACTATTAATGAAACAGAAATAATTACCAATAATGACCCAGATGCTACAGTTAATATTGACTCAGACACTATAATTAATAATGAAAACGATACCACAATTAAAAATGACCCAGAAAGCAATACAAACAATGTACTTTTTAATACAATATGGAATAATGTTTATTTAAGGGGATTAATCAGACAACATTCTAAACTTTTTAGCATGTTTTATGAATGTAGAGAATTTGATAGCTTAGAAGACCTTTTGGAATTTGAATTTAAGGAATATTTATACAAAGTAAAATTTAATTTTATAGTTGACGATGCAGAAGATTTAGAAACAGTGTTACCAAAAAACATTGAGTCATTGGTAATCTCGGTTAAAACTTTTCTCACACCCATTCCGAGCTGGATCAAGAAAGTCACTATTGTCGATGACCAACATTTCAATCTTGGTGACTACGAAACTGAACCTCTCAAATTAAAAGCTTTATTTTCAAATGTATTAAATCTAGAAACACTCGAATTCGAATCAAAGATTGTTCTTGACCAATTATCACAAAATGCTTTTAAAAATACATTACCAATGTTAAAAGAATTAAAGTTTCCATCAACAATTCCTGTAGTGTTATCATGGTTACCAAAAGGTTTAAAGAAACTTTATATCCACACAGGTGAAGTTTTAAAAACTGAAATTTTACCCAACTCCTTAACAGAACTATCAATCCTTACTATGGATTCAACATTCCCAATAAAAGATGGTAATGAGTTACCAAGTGGATTGCAAGAATTAAAAATTAACAGAAATAATGGTGAAAATTTAAGTTTCAAAACAGATAAATGTTATAAAATTTCAAATAAATTCAAACTTCCATCCTCACTAAAACATTTAGAAATTAATACAATTTGTGATTCTGAAGATCCAATTAATTTCCCATCAAGTTTAAAAACAATTAAAATACAAGTTAAAGATATGCAATCTATAACAAGTTTACCAAATGCTTTGGAGGTACTAGATATTACATCTTTAGGCGAAACCAATTCAAACTTAACATCAATTCTATCAAAATCTTTAAAATATCTTACTATTAGAAATGGTCATTTTAATCAAAAACTCGAACCAAACATGTTCCCATCCAGTTTAACCAGTCTCGAATTCATCGATATTATTTTTGACAATGATGGAGGCAATCCATTGGCCGAAGATAATTTATTCCCATCATCTTTAACCTATCTTAACTTGGGTGATACTTTTAATGAACCAATTATAGGTCTTAATGTGCTACCAAAAAGCTTAAAAACACTTATACTTGGTAAAAGATATCATCATAGAATAGTTGATGGTTCAATACCATCCAATTTAGAACTATTGCAAATCAAAAATCAAAACTATAATAAATTCCCAATCAAACTACCCAATCCAAACACCATTGTAGATTGCTGTAACTATTATAAACAATATGAAAGAAACTTTAACAAATTAATTACATTCAAGGTTCCAAAAGAGTTTAGAGCTTCGATCGATCCAGAATTGTTCACATTAAAAGATAGACACAGTTTAGAATATATCGATTTATCTGAAAACTTGACACCAGAAACTGTATTTTTAGAATTACCATTTAAGAACTCCATTAAAACATTGGTACTAGGCGACTATGATTACTCTGAAAGAATCAATATCGATAAGTTCCCATATTTACAAACTTTAATTGTCAATGATGGTTGTCCATTAATCTCCACAAAGAACTATCATAACAATAATCTAAAAACAATCATTGTAAATAGAAAATGCACAAACTTTATAGATTTATTAGATCCAATATTCTATAACATAATAAAATTAAAATAAAAAAAAATAAAAAAAATTATAATTAAAGGTTTTAAAAAAAAAAAAGTATAAATATTGTATGAATGTTTATTTCTATTATTACAAATAAATAAAAAGTTGATTTTTTTTTGTCTTTTGTTTTTTTTTAAATATTAATATTATACTACTAAATAACTACTATTTTTATGAAGAATCTCTTGCTAATTGAATTAATGGTTTAAATTCTAATGGATCACATGCCATTTCAATGAATGGATGTTTTAAAAGATCGGTGGCATCTGGACGATTTTGAACATTGATATCTAAACACTTACTAAAAAAATCTTGGAAAGTTTTACTCCATTTGGAACCCTCTTTAAGTGGTGGAATACCTTTGGTGGTGATAAGGAAAAGAGCACGAAGTGGTGGGAAATCCATGTATGGTGGTTCACCTTCTGCCATTTCCATCATCATAATACCCAATGACCAAATATCGACTTTAACACCATAATCGTGACCTCTAATTAACTCTGGAGCCATCCAATATGGAGTACCAACGACAGTATTTCTTTTTTGTTGTTTTTGAGTTAATTGAGCAGCATAACCAAAATCTGCAATTTTAACTGAACCTTCACTACCTAAAAGAATGTTGTCACTCTTGATATCTCTGTGAATTCTATGAAGACTGTGAATGTATTGGAGAGCTTTTAAGGTTTCTCTAACGACGTAAGCAATTTGTGGTTCGTTCATTTTGACTGTATCGAAAGCTTCTAAAATATCGGTGAGACAACCACCACCCATAAATTCCATAGCTACCCATAATTCTTTATCACCTACAATATAACTATCAATATAATTTACAATATTTTCATGATGGCTGGTCTTCATAATTGCAATTTCTGTAACTAATAATTTGGCATTGTCATTATTAATTTCAATCTTCTTAATAGCAACTCTTTTATTATTCTTTGATGATGTAGCAACAAATACTTCACCTGCTGCACCTTCACCAATTTTAGTCATATTTTTATAAATTTTAGTTGGATCTTCTTTTGATACAAGCTCACCTATTATTATTAAAATAATTTAAAAAAAATAAAAAGTTAATATGAAATTAATTTAAAAAATCTCTTTTATATAATATATATGAATTTTTACTTAATGTATAATTGCTTTCATCTGGTAATTGTGACATTTGTTGAGATTTTGTTTTATCCATAGTTCTACCAGCTTGAAATTCTAAAACACTGAGCCATTCACTTGGTTTATCTAAAACTTCTTGTTTTGAAACGTTTGATGATTTTAAAATGACTTCCCATTCTTTTGGTAAACCAGAGAAACCAGTTGCACTATTGAAATCGACATGTACTTCGTGCTTAAGATTAAATGGTTGACTAACTGTGCTGTATTCTGAACCTTTTTCAACTGCTTTCATCCATGATAACATTTCATCTTGTGAATTTGCTTGAATGAAAAAAGTTTTGTTAATTCTTGGTGATACCAATTCAAAACAGTATTGTTTACCTAATGATTTGTTTTCATAAACTCTGCTCATTCTTAATGGTACTGCACCAACTGGTCTTTCTTCTTTTTCTTTAAAATAAAATAACATATCATTTTGGATAATAAATTTTCTTTTTTTCCAATTTCTAACTACGTGTCCTTGTTTTCTCAAATCTCCTTCTTTATCCGGTTTCTTCCATAACTCTGGTGATAACTAAATAAATTATTTAAAAATATTAATATCTATTATTTTAATCTATATCTAAATCTATATCTATTTAAATAAAAGAAATAAAAAAAAACATAAAGTCGCGAAATAGACAAGATTATATATTTTTGAAAAACACCCTTTTTTATTTTTTTATATCTTTTTTTAAAAAAAAAAAAAATTTTGATTATGATTACGACTATGATTATTGTTTATATAGTAATATTTACATCTTCCAATGAAATCATTTTATATTATAGTTCTTATAATACAAAAGTGTAATAATATTTATAGAGAAAAAAAATTTATAAAAAAAAAAAGAAACTGATTTTTTTAAAAAAATTTAAAAAAAATTTTATAAAATTTTTTTAAAATTTTATTTTATTTTATTTATTTTTTTTTTACAAAAATCTAATTATTTGTTTTTTTAATAAAATAAATAAATAAAGATATCATAACATTTCTTTATTCTAAAATAACCAAAATAAAAAAATTAAAAAATAAAAATAAAAAAAAAAATAATAAAAAAAATAAAAAGGAAAAAGAAAATTTTTTTTTTTTGGGTTAAAAAAACCAAAAAAAGTTTTATTTATTTGTTTTATTTGTTTAATTTGTTTTTTTTATTTCTTTATTTATTAGTTTTATTATTTTTATATTTATTTTTTTTTTTTAACAGAGAAATCTAAATTGTATTTTTTTTTATTTTATTTATTTTTTTAATTGTTTTTTTTTATATCGTTATTATAAATAAATTATGTAATAATTAACAACCCATCATGACAGTACCCACTTGTATTATTTAAAAAAAAATTTTAAATGGTTTAGCTAACTGAAATTATTTGAAAATTTTTTATTTTTTATTTTTTTTTATTTTTTTTCATTTTTTTTATAATTTTTTTTTTTTTTTCATAAAAAATTTAAATATAATTTTTTTTTTTTTCTTTTTTAATTATTAAATTTATTTATTTATCTATTTATACATATATATATTGTAAGTATTTTTGCATATTATTTGTTTAAAATAAAAATAATTTAAGATTTAAAAGAAAAAAAATAAAATTAAAAATAAAAAAATAAAAATAAAAATAAAAAAAATATCAAAACATTAAACTAATTAATCTTATTTTTAATAATTAGAAAATGCGTCGTTCATTAGCAGGTCCAGGTATGTTTTTCTTATTAAACTTATTTATTCAAACAAAATCTAAAAAAAAATTTTGTTTAATTAAAAAAAAAAATAAAAAAAAATTAAATTAATAATCTTTTAAATTATTATAATAATAGGTTCATCAACTTCAAACTACCAACCAAAATTAGACCCAGGAAAGAGTGTTGGTTCATCACCATCAGGTTCTGACGGTTTCAGAAGAACTGGTGCTGCCTCAGGTCCACAATCATCCACCTCTGCTTACACACCAACCACCGATATCGGTAAACAAGCTCCAGCTGGTGGCAATGATGGTTTCAGAAGAACCGGTGCTGCTTCAGGCCCACAATCATCTGTTTCAGAATACAACCCAACCCAAGATATTGGTAAACAAGCTCCAGCTGGTGGCAATGATGGTTTCAGAAGAACCGGTGCTGCCTCAGGCCCACAATCATCAGTTTCAGAATACAACCCAACCACCGATATTGGTAAACAAGCCCCAGCCGGTGGTAATGATGCTTTCAGAAGAACCGGTGCTGCTTCAGGTCCACAATCATCTGTTTCAGAATACAACCCAACCACTGATATTGGTAAACAAGCCCCAGCCGGTGGTAATGATGCTTTCAGAAGAACCGGTGCTGCTTCAGGCCCACAATCATCACACACTGATTATACCTCAACTTTAGACCCAGGTCTTTCAGTCAGTGTTTCAGGTGGTGGCGGTAATGATTATTTCTCACACCACAATGACGTTCAACAACAATAAGCTTGCTGTTGCTCTCATTTAAAAAAAAAAAAAAACAACAAAAAAAAAAGAAAAAAAAAACCCATATTTGTAAAAAATTCTATCTATTTAATAAAAAGTTGTAAAATCACTATATTTTTTAAAAATAAATCCAACAAAATATAAATTTTTTTATCTTAATAATTATTTATTTTTTTCTTTTTTTAATATTGCCCAGATATGGAATTTTTAATTTTTAAATTTAAATTAATTTTTTTTCTTTTTTATTTTTTTCATTTTATTTATTTAACCCTAGTTCGCTCACCCACACCCACACTCAGAATTACCTAATAAAATTTCTTTTTTTTTTTAATTTTTTTTTCATTTGTAAATTTTAATAGTAAATTTATTAAGGACTTTTTATTTTCAAAATAATAAAGGCTAAAATATTAAAAAATTTTTTTTTTTTTTTTTCCATAATTTGTTAAAATTTACAAAAATCCATTATAACGAATATTTTTGGTAGTTAAAAAAAGCTAAAAAAATTTAAAAAAAATTTAAAAAAAATAATTTAAAAAAAATTTTATTTTTTTTTTTTTTAAAATTTTTTTAAAATTTTTTTTTATTATTTTTTTCATTTTTTTTTTTCATTTTTTTTATTTTTTTTTTCTATACAATACACACCACATTAATTTATATATTTTTATTATTTTAATAGTAGTAATAAAGTTTAATTTTACTTTAAAAGACTGAATTGATATATTTAAACGATTAATTAAGAAGCAAAAAAAAAAAAAAAAAAAAAAAAAAAAAAAAAAAAAAAAAAAAAAACCAACTTCTTATTATTTTTAGGATTGAATTAATAATGAACAATACAAATACAAATAATAATAACAGCAACAGTAACAGTAGTAATAATAATAGAAACAATAATATGAATCGAAATTACAACAATAACAATGGAAATAACAACTCGCTCGGGAATATGGGTGGAATGAATAGTAATATGATGATGGGAGGTGGGATGAACAGCAGCAACAACAGTAATAACAATAATAATAGTAGTAACAACAATAATAACCCTAGTATGATGATGGGAAGTGGCATGGGCGGTAATTATAATCCAAATATGGGTGGTAATTCATATATAAATAATAATAACAACAATTATAACAATAATAATCAAAATAATGGGAACAACAATAATAACAGCAGCAATCAAAATATGAATATGAATAGTAATTATAATATGACCTATAATAACAACACCAATAATAATTATAATAACAGCTATAACAGTACCAACAATAGCAACATTAATAATAATATGAATAATAATATGAACGTACCCATGAACAACAACAACAACAATAATAATATGGGAATGGGTAATATGAACAACAACTATAACAATAATCAACATAGCAATGGTAATAGTAATCAACACAGCAACAACAACAACAATAATGGTAATAAGAAACTTACACTCCCAAAATCATTTACTAATCATGATGGCCCAATTTTAATTAAAGATAATAATGGTAAATTTTTAGACTTTATTTTTATAGATATTTTTGAATTTACTAACATTTAATTAATTAAATATTTTTTCAATACCACAAAAATTATAATAATTTTCATTCTCTAAATTCATTTTAATTTTGAATGAACTTAATTTTAATAATTTAACTTTTTATTCTTTTATTTATTTTTTTTTATTTTTTTTTTCCCATTTATTTGTTTTTATATTACAAAAAAAAAAAAAAATATAAAAAAAAATATAATATAATATTATTCACACAATTAAAAAAATAAATAAATAAAATAAAAAAAAAATAAATAATAAAGGTAAGGTAATTGGAGAAAAAGAAAAATTAGGTAGAACCTTATTTGTTCGTAATGTTGCATATAGTTGTTCTGAGTCAGAGATTGTAAAGATATTTTCAAAGATTGGTGAAATTAAAAAAACATTTTCATTATTGGAGTCAAGAGGTATTGCTTTTATTACATTTGTAAGCCTAAGTTTATAGAAAATTATTTTTTAACCATTATAATGTACTAATTGAAAATTTCCTTTTTAATTTTAAATAGTATGATTTGAGAGATGCCGAGAGAGCAAAAAATGAAATTCAAGGTACTACACTCGATGGTAGATCTATTGATATTCATTTTTCAATTCCAAAAGAAGAGAGTGGTATTGAAGATAATGCAGGTTTTATTCACGTTAAAAATCGTAATCTTCCCCAAAATGAGTTAAGAACATTTTTTTCAAGTTATGGAGATATTAAAGATGTTACAGAATTTAATCGTGACCAAGGGTATGCATACATTTAATTTTTTTATTTTAAAAGGAGACATAAATACTAATTACTATTTACTATAGACTTGTTGAATTTTATGATTTAAGAGCATGTGAAAAAGCTTTGGCAGAAGCCAATGGCCAAAAATTGCTTGACCAAACATTAGATTTGGCTTATTACACACCAAAAGAAATCCCAGCTATTATTGATGCATACGAGGGTAGAAAAAATAATATTAATAATAATAATAATAATAATAATAATAACAATAATAATAATAGCAATGGTGGTAATAACAATAGAATGAACAATAATCGTAATAATTATAATAATCGTAATAACGATAACGAAGATAATAGAAATAAGAGAAATATGAATAGTATGGGAAATAACTATAATAATAACAACAATTTTAAGAGTGGGCCAATTAGAAATGTTTATCAAAGCGATCGTAATCCAGACTATAGAAGACGTGACGATTTTAACCGTATGTATTCTTATAATAGTTTTTAGAAAAAACAGCTTTTATTTTTATTTTCATTTTATTTTTTAGTTTTACTGAGTTTGAATCTATTAACCACATATTTTTCTTTTTTAAAATTAACTTTTTTTTCACAGGTAATAATAATTATAACAATAATCAAACAAGTAATTATAACAATAATAGCAACAGTTTTAGCAACAATCCAAATTATTACGATGGAAATAGTTTATATAGTAACATGACAAATAATTACAGCCAAAACCAAAACAATAATAACTACAATAATAATAATAGTAATAGTAATAATAGTTCAAATAACAATAGTAATTGGGTAAATAATAGTAATATGGGTGGTTTGGCAAGTAATATGAACAATAGCAACAATATAAACAATAATATGAACAGCAATATGAACAACAATATGAATAACAATATCAACAACAATATGAACAGCAATATCAACAACAATATGAATAGCAATATAAACATGAATAACATGAATAATATGAATATTAATAATAATATGAATCGTAACAACAACCCAAATAATAACTCAAATAACAACTCTAGTTCAAATTATATTAGTTCAAATAATAATAACAACATCTCAAATATAAACAACAACATGAATAAAAATAATTCAAATAACTCAGCATCATATGGAAATAATAATAATAATAATAATAGTAATTATAACCCTAATTTTTATAGCTCTAACTCTTCCAATTTTTTTAACAACCTTCCTAACTACTATTCAGAATCTTCAAATTTTCCAACTCACGACGGTGCCAGCCCAGAAATCTTAGCCAACATTTCACAACTTGCCCAAACTCTTGGAATGGATGGCTGGAAACAATAAACTTTAATAAATATTCAAAACAAATTGACCTGTAAAATTTTAAAATTAAAAAAATAAAAAATTATTTATTATAAAATATTTTATAAAAAAAGATTTTATTGTTTTTTTATTTATTTATAGTTTTTTATTATATATTACCAACGAAAATCAAAGTTAAAATCAAAGTAAGGAAAAATAACAAATTGGTTTTTATTATATTTAAATTGCTTGAGCTATTATTACTATTGTTACTATTATTGTTATTATTGTTGTTATTATTGTTATTACTATTACTATCGGAGTTTGGATGATAGGGTTGTGGAAGAGATACCAATAAGGAAGTAACATACGAATAATAACCATTACAATCAGTATCATAGGAGTATAAGGTAATTGTAGTGTTTTTTTTATCTAAACTTATACAAGCTTGATTACAATAAAAGTATTGGTAATAGGTTGAGCCTGGGTAGCATAGTAGTCTTTCGGAATATTCGTTTACATAGGAGCAGAATTGGTTATCTTTATATAAAAAAGTTATTTGCGATGTATAATTAAACATAGTCCCTAGGTATAGAGGTACTTCTTTTTCGAGTGTAATGCTATATTGGCTATTGATGGTTGGTTTTGATGAGTATGATGTTACTTGTGTATAGTTTACAATGGATAGTGTAATGGTTTCTGGGTCATAGCTTCCAGAATAAGAGGATTTTGGAACAAACATTTCTTCACAAGCATTAATTGGTTCTGGAGTTGTGCTGTTAAGTGGTGAGTATTTAAATGAATATCCTATTTTCTTATCTCCATCCATAAAGAGTGAGTTGTAATATAGGGCAATAATTCCATTGCCTATTGGCTCCTTAACTGGATTTATACAGTTTTCTACACAGTTCATGTCATATCCTACTTCGGTTTCGTATTTCTGTGCATAAATAGCACATATATTATCACCATCATAAAACATTGAAACATATGGGTAGTCTGAAATGCCTTGAACATCTTTAAATAAAAATGGTACACCTTTTTCAATAATAAAATTTTTAAAAAAAGTAGTTTCTCCATATGAATCTCCATCTCCTGGTTGTATTGTATCAGTGGATACAAAATAGTATTCATAAAGGGTTATGTTGTATTTCTCTAAACCTCCATCGGTAACGTTGTTATATGGTTTGCATGGTACGGTTTGAGGAAGTTGTTCTATGGTTTGATTGTTAGGGTTTTCAAAAGCCACAATATAATTGATTATTATTAATAATAAAAAAATATAAATAATAATTTTCATTTTATTATATTTTTGTATCTTTATTAAAAATTTTTTTTTTTTTTTTTTCATTTTTTTTTTAATTAAAAATATAAATTTTTTTTTTTTTTAAGAAACTAGGATAGTGTGTTTAGATTCCATAAATGAAATTATTATTATAATTTTTATTTTTTTATTTAGATATTTTTATGATTAAAAATCTAAAATTACACATGTGGAGTGTATATATACATATTTATAATATTATATGATATGTATAATATGTATAATATTTACATTTATTTAATATTATATAGTCTGAAATATTAATTATTAAATATTATTATTTGTTTGAATAAATTTTTGAAATTTTATTTTTTTTAATTTTTTAATTTTTTATTTTTTATTTTTTTTTTTTTTTTTTTAAATTTTATTTTTTTAAAATTTTTTTCATTTTGTTTTAAAAAGCGATTGGAATTATTATTTTAGTAATATCTTTTTTTTTTATTTATTTATTTATTTATTTATTATTTAATAAATCTTACTTTTTTTTTAATTTCAATTTTATAAATATAAATTATTTATATTTATAAAAAAATTAAAATTTTAAAAAAATAATAGTAAAATGAGTAATGTTAAACCAATAACACCACTTACACAAATTAAAGCTAATGGTAATAACACTGTAGCCATAGGTTTTGTTAGTGGAAGTTTAGCTTCAATTTGTGCTACAACTGGTATGTATTGTTTTATTTCACAATACCTTTTTTTTTTTTATTTATTTTTTTTATTTGTGGTTTTTGTGTTTTTTAAATTAAAAAAAAAAAAAAAGGAGATATTTTTTAAAATTTAAAATTATTAATGTTTCTTTTTAATTTAATAAAAAATCAAAGTTACAAATCCTATTGAATTAGTTAAAACTAGATTGCAGTTACAGGGCGAATTACAATTATCAGCAAGAATTTATAGTGGTGTAGTGGATGCATTCAAAAAAATATATAGAACCGAAGGTTTGAGAGGATTACAAGGCGGCTTGTTTCCTGCTTATTTATCACAAGCAACAATGCAAGGTATTAGATTGGGTAGTTTTGATGTAATATCTAATGCATTAGGGGCAAATCCAGGTCAAGACTATTTTTTTATTAAAAATTTAATCAGTGGCGCAACAGCAGGTGCAATAGGTGCCGCAATGGGGTCTCCATTCGATTTGGTTAAAGTGAGAATGCAAGCTGCTAAAATGTATGCAAACGATCCTCAATTTACAAATTATACATCATCATATTCAGCATTCAAACAAATTCTTTCAAAAGAGGGTGTCAGAGGTTTAACTAGAGGTATGGCCACATCATCTCAAAGAACTGCTGTTGGCTCAGCAATTCAATTATCAACTTATGGTTCCTGTAAAAACCTTGTGCTTAACTTCGTAGAGGAAGGTATTTACTCTCATTTACTTTCAAGTTTGGTTGCAGGTTTCTTTGTTACTGTTGGTATGAATCCTTTTGATGTAGCCAGAACCAGATTATATTATCAAGGTAAAGGTAACACCCATGGTGAAATCTATAAAGGTTTAATGGATTGTATTGTTAAAACTACCAAGAAAGAGGGATTTATGGCATTATATAAAGGTTTTTGGGCTCATTATATTAGATTAGGACCACACACAGTTTTGGTAAATTTATTAATTTTTATTTATAAAAGTTTTTTTTTTACAACTTTTACTAACATTTTTTTTTTTTTTTTAGACTCTTGTATTTTGGGAACAATTTAAAATCTTACTTTCAAAATAAAAAAATTTATTATTTAATTGATCAATTAAAAAAAGATTTTGATCAAATAACCAAAATTTATCAGTGTTTATAAATTTTTTAGAATGGAAAAAAAAAAATTTTTATTTTTTTTTTAATTTTTCAAATTTTTATTTTTTTACTTTTTTTTCATTTTTCTTTCATTTTTTTTAATTCACACCCAAAATTAATTAATTTTTATTTAAAAACGATTTACATATTTAATAAAATCAGAAAATGTCAGAAAGAGAATCATTAAATAGTCAATTGGAACATCTCCAAATGAGATATGTAGGAACTGGACATGCTGATATAACAAAACAGTAAGTTATTAACCATTATTTAATTATATTAAATTATTTTGCATCATACCAATTTTTTTTTTTTCCTTATAGTGAATGGTTAACAAATCAACATAGAGACTCACTTTCATCATTTATTGGACATCAATCATTTTTATCATTATTTTCTATTGCAGAAAATGAATCAGTTGGAAGAGTTAAATATAATACATTAAGTGTAAATATTAATTTTAATTTTTATAATACTATAATAATTTTTTTACTAATATATTTATTATATTTATATAGAAAATGATTTCACCATGTGGACCACCACCAAAAATTAAAGATACAATGGATTTAGAAAAAGATAATTAAAAAAAAATTTTAAAAAAATTAAAAATGTATATAAATAAAGAAATATAACAAAAAAAAAAATCTAAAACAATAGAGGTATTATTTTAGGTAATAGAATTGTAATAACAATAGTAATAAAAGTTTCAAAATAAAATCATTGTAAATATTTAAATAAAGGTAGCTTTTAAAATTAGTTTTTTTTTACTGTTTATATTTATTATTTTTTTTAAACTAAATATTCTAAATTTGTTTAATCAACAATAGATTTTTTAAAAGTACATATAGATGATTTGCGGTAAATTATGTATAAATGTTTAACATAAAGAGGCAACAGCGCCAACGAAACCGGCATTATAGTCGGTGGCGACTTCATTTGAAATGTAATTTGTTCTGTCATCTTTAAAGGCATCATCAGAACCTGGTCCACCAACTAGAGCTCCTTTTAAGAGGTATAGATTATTAACTGGATTATTAATATCGTTGGTTGTAGAGTGATGGGCAGCACGATGATGTGGGTTAATTGGAGCGTTTGGACCAATTCCAACAACAAATGATTGTTTATTTGGATTATCACCCAAGATGTATGAAATTTGGGCTTTGGTGAATTTAGTACCATCATCAGTACCGGCTAATGAAGCAAGGAAAGCGGATGTAGCGGCGTAACGGGCTGGACCCCATTCTCTAATCCATGCAAGACCACCTGGGGTATAGGTAACACCTCCACCTGGTTGCCAGAATTTTAACCAACTTTCAAAGTCAGCAGCAGCAGAAGAGTTTGAAGCAATTTTAGATAACAAGAGAGCACAACCTGGAGCTTTAAGATCCCAATCATGGGAGTTTGACTGGGCCATTGTACCTACACCAAATTCAGTATAGTATTCTTGGGCTTTAGTTAAATAAGTTTCATCTTCAGTGGCTTTGTATAACCAAATAGCTCCCCATACAAGCTCATCTTTATAGCCTGACCAAGAGTTGTAGAAACTTTTAGCATTTGTAACAACATCAGAATAGACACCACGATGTGTATCACCAAAATTATATAAAGTTTTAGCATGTTCTAAACAAGTGGCTGCATAGTCTGCATTTGCAGATTTGAAAACTATTGAGGCAGCAGCTAAGGCAGATGCAGCTTCACAAGCAACTTCAGTGCCTGGTTCGTCTGCACTAATCATAAAGGTAGGTCTTTCCATGGTCATATTTTCTGGTGGTCCCCAATATGAATGATCTAAATTACCATCACCAACTTGTGCAGCAAATTCATTATCGCCAGTGTGTGCAGCAATAATCCAATCAGTACCATATTTAATTGTATCTTGGAATAAACCAGTTAAACCACAACCGTCAATTTTACTTTCATATTCGGTATAGGCCCAACCTAACATTGTCATTGAGTAAGTCATTGGAAGTCCAAATTTAACACCGTCGCCAGCATCAAAATAGCCTCCACTTAAATCTCCATCTCCATTTGCATCTTTTTTACCACTTGGACTTGAATCTGCTAGTGCTGAATCTCCTCTCCATGGAATATCGTTGTCAGGTAAACGACCAGCTCTATTCATTTTATAAAAAGTTAATGCTTCTTTTAACACCGAACAGTAGTCACTTGGACTAGTACTACCACCAGCAGGTTCACTGGTATTTGCACCGGCAGTTTCACTGGAAGTTGCGGCAGTACTTGCAGTACTTGCAGCAGTACTTGCACTATTACTTGCAGCAGTACTTGCACTACCTGTTTTATAAAAAAAAAAAAAAAAAATATTAATAAATTATTATATATTAAAAAAAATATATATTTACCTACTTTGTGATAATACTGTGGCCGATAAACATAAAACCAATAAAATTGGTAAATATTTTTTTAATATTCTCATTATATTATTTATTTGTTATTTTTTATATTATTTTATTGTTTTTATTTTGTTGTTAAATTATTATTTTAAATTATTTATTAGATTTTATTCTTTATAGTTTTCCTTTTTTTGTTATTATTTATTTGTTACTACAAAGAAATTTTTTAGAAAAATGAAAAATAAAGTTTTTTATCTTCAATTTATAGAGAAATCAATAATATGAAAAATAATAATTCCATTTTTTTATTTTTTTTTATTTCTTGAATTTATTTTTCAATTAAATTATATTATTTAAATCGATCTGTTGTCTAATTCTTAATTTTTTTAGGTTTTTTTTAATATTTGGGTATTTTATTATATCAATTAAAAAGATTGAAACCAATATTATATCTATTTTCTTTTTTTAGATTTTAAAAAAAAAAAATTTTCTTTTAAATTTAATTTATAAATATATTTTATTTTATTTTTTTTTTTTAAAATTAGTTTTTTATTTTTTTTATTTTTATTAATTCTAAAAGATTTTTATATTTAATTTTTATTTTTATATTTTCTAATAAATAAAAAAAGAAGTAATATATTTTTTTATTTTATTTTTTTTAATTTTCAAAATGATTTACCTATATATAACTGATTTCATTTTTTTTACTTTTTAAAAAGTAAAATATAGTTTTTATTGGAGAATTATTAACCATTTATTTTTTAAAAAAAAAAAAAAAAAAAAAAAGCCAATAATAAAAATAAAATTTAAAATAATAAATAAATAAAGAATAATAAAAAATTAATAAAGCAAAGATTTATAGAAAATAAAATTAAAATGATATTAAATTATAAAAAAAATAATTAAGTTAAAAAATAAAAAAATAAAAACTTTTTTTTATTTTTTTCGTTTTTTTTTTTATTTATTTATTATTATAGTTTTTTTTATTGCCAGAGTTTTATAAAAAGAAGAAAATATGTTTGACTTATCAGATTTTGCAAAAATGACAAACTCTGATTCAGAGGATGAGAATGAAAATAATAAAAATGAAAATAAAGAAATTGAACAAGTTTTTGAAGAAAAAACATTAGAGATTTATGATAAAACTATTAAAATTAGAGAATTTCATTTTAGCACAACCAATGCAGGATACATTTGGCCATCAACATATACCATCATTGATTATATTTTAGCACATAAAGAAAAATTTGAAAATAAAAAAATAATTGAACTTGGTTCTGCAACAGGTATATTATCAATTTTTTTAAACGCAAAAGGTTTTGATGTCACCTCGAGTGATTATAATAATCCAGAAATTTCAGAAAATATCGAATACAACAAATCATTAAATAATATTAATTTTAGACACATTCCACGTAGGTAAAAAAATTATAGTTTAAAGTTACCACATACTAAAAAATATATTTTTTTCTTATAGATACATGGGGCGATACATTCGAAGAAAATGATAAAAATTTTGATATTGTTATAGCAAGTGATATTTTATTATGTAAGTTGTGTCGATATTTCCCAAAGAAAAAGTTTGTTTTACTAATTAGTTTTTTTTTTTAATAGATGTTATGTATTTTGAAAAATTAATGTTAACATTACGTCAATTGATGGATAATAAAGAAAATAGTTTTATGTTAATGGCCTATGGAAGAAAATTATATGACTCTAAAAAGTTTTTTGTATTATTAGAAGAGAATGATTTCGAATACGAGCTTGTAGGATCGAAAATGTGGATAATTAAAAAGAAAAAAATTATTAATAAATAAAAAAAAAAAGTTATAGTTTTTAAGTTTTATAGTTTCATAGCTTTTATTGTTTATATTTATTTGGAAACAAAAATTAATTGGCTAAATAAATCTAATTTTGTATTTTCAATTATAATTTTTTCAAATTTCTTTGTTTTAATACTAAATTTATAAAGTAATGGAGAGTTCTCTTCTATATTTATACCATAAAAGTAGATATGTTGTTCACCATCGAAAAATGTTGAATTAAAGAATTGAATTTTTTCTGTTGGATTGGTTACTTCATTTTCTGTATTTAATAATGGTGATGAGTGGGATGAGGATTGGGATGACTGTGATGAGATTGAGGAGAATGAATTTGTTTTCTTTAACATTTGAGGTGATTGAACTACAAGATTCATTGTGCTTGATGTGTGTGAAAGAGCAGATCTATGGGTTTCATTTTGAAGAACTTCCCATTTGTTGGTTTTTGTATCAAATCTTTCCATATTTTTTAAATCTCTTGATGACCTTCTATCTATACCTCCAATAATGTTTATATATCTTGAGCCATCAAAAGAAACACCACTAAAATATCTTGGTTGATCTATATCACAAACAACATTCCATTGGTTCTTTTCGATACTATACATTTCGACAGATGATTTTTTATCTTTGTTTACATATCCATCAATAACATAGATGCACTTTTTTGAGGGATGATAAAAAGCATTGAAATAACTACGACCATTTTTCATTGATGCTAATCTTTTCCATGTTTGATTTTCTATGTTATATACCTCTAATAGTTTTGAAGAGTCTGTTTCTGCACCACCTATTAAATATATTAGTTTATTACCATCAAACAAACAACAGTGACCATTTCTTTTTGATGGAATTTTAATGGAGCTAAGCTCCCACCAGTCTTTATCTATACTATATTTGTAAATATCTTGTGGGCACTCTTTGCCACCAAATCTATAAACAGTAGAATTGTTATCGAAAATAGTTGAATATTCGGTTGTTTTTTTTAAAATTTTTGATCCAGGTCTCCAAATTTTAGTAATATTATCATAAATTTCTACTTGTTCATCCGAGAAACCATATATAAATTGTCTACATCCAGTTGAGATTGATTCTTTTCTAGTTAATATCTTACCAAATACTGGGTTTTTCAATTGGATTTTAGCAGGGCCATTTGGTGAACTTGGGGTATTATTTTGATTATTTGAATTGTTAATCATAATTTGGGTTGTAGATTGTACACCTGGTGAAGATTGATTAATTGATGGTTTAACCATGGTTGGTGTTGAACTAGATGAGTCATTGGGTATTGATGACATGGATTGAGACATAAGTGGAGAGTTGGCCTTTGGTGATCCATTCGATTTCTTTAGACCATTAGTTAGGTTAGTTATAAAAGATGGAGTTGGAGGTGTATTTAATGGTGATGATGATATATTAACTGAAGTTCTTTTTGTTCTATACACAACAGTGGTTTTTTCTCCATTAGATCTAGCAAAAAGTTGAGGGAAATGGAAATCTGGGTCCCATTTATACTCTGCATTAACTTCAATGTTATTGGCAAGGTTATCAGAAAGTTGCTCCAATTTCTTTAGGTCATTATGCTTTTTTAATAATGATGAACAAATTGCTTCATTTTCAACTTGAGATAGATACAATGAAACAATACCTTGGGCAATCGTATTGTTGTTTTGAATTTCATTTATTGTTGAGTGAATTGTTGTAATTTGTTCAGATAATTCTACTTTTTGGTCTTGATGCTCTTTTTCGATTTGATTAATTAATGTTTGCTTTCTTTCTTTTAAATTTTCAATCATTAGGTCAATGTCATTTGATATTTTCTGTTTAGTTTCTTGTAAAACTAATGAACTTTCATTTATTATTTTTTCTATCTTATTCTTTTTGTTTAGCAATCTATTTGGGGACAATGACATTGTAATAATTGTAGATTCTATATCGCCTATTCTTTTCTCTGCTTCCGACAAAATACAGCTAAATGTATGGTTGCTATGGTTATTTGTTGTGCAATCAATACAAACTGGGACATCACATTCGAGGCAAAAATTTGAAAAGTTCTTGGTATGTTCGGGGCACTTTGATAACTGTTGAACAGTTGAGTCATTAATTCTTGGTGTTTGAACAATATCGGATGAAATTAAAACTGGTCTATTTTTATCATTTAATAAAGTATTGCACTTTTCTGGTTTACAAACTACTGGGGCGATAGGTGGGCTCGAGATAGCTTTTAGTTTTAATGGTGGTTTTAAGACATTATTGCTAATAGTACTGGCCCTTTGTGGTGATAGTTGAATATTTGATTGTTTTGATTGAAGTGATGGTGAAGTTGGACTTAGTTTTGGTGAAGTACTGATTAAAATCGGTGATGTAAGTAAATTTCTTTGAGAAAGACTACTGGTACTTGTGGTTGTGGTTGTAGTTGTAGTTGTTTTGTTAAGGGAAGCTGATAATGGTGTAGTACTTATCAAATCATCATCTTTCCTTTTATCTTGTGATCTATAATAAACCAATTCCTCTACACATTGGACAACTGGGAAAGTATTGTTAATTGATGTTATTACCATTGAATGTATATTACAAATTGGGCACTTTATAATTGGTGTTACTCCAGGGTTATAAATTTTTTCAATGCATTTTGTACAAAGAATATGTTCACATTCTAATTTTCTGGGTTTATTATATATGTTTAAACAATTTGGACAAGTTAACAATCTATCCATTTTATTTAACTTTTTAGTTGTACTATTTAAACTAATGTAAAAAAACTATAAATTAAAAACTATATTATTATTTTTTTTAATAATATAATTAATTATATTATTTTTTTTTTTTTTTATTAAATTTTTTTATAGTTATAATTTTATATTTATTGATAAATAATTATTTTATAGAATTGATTAAAAGTAACTTTATTATTTATTATTATTTCTAGTAATGATATATGAATTAGTGTTACTATTTTTTTTATTGTTGTTAATTAAATGATTATAAAAGAATAATAAAAAATAATTTAAAAGGTGTTAATAAAAAAAAAAAACAAAAAAAAAAAAAATTAGATTTTAATTAGATTTATATAAACAATAGCAACAATAACAATAACAAAATATGATTAATTATGATTAAATAATGATTTATTATGATTTAATTTGATTATTTAATTATTTAATTTAATAGATAAATATTTATGTGATTTGATGATTGTGTGAGTTTATTTATATATATTTTAAACTATTAATAATACTATATACTGAAGTAGTGTTCAAAAAAAAATAAAAATAATCAATTGTGTTTGAATATTATATATTAATAGTAACTTTTAAAAATTATTTAAAATTATTTTATATTAAAATATGTATGTATAACACTAATAGATAACTAAAAAAATTAAAAAAAAAATGAAATAAATACAAAACAAAAAATAATATTAAAAAAAAAAATATAATAATAATAATCCAACAAAATCAAATATGTAAATGTGTTGGTTATACACACAAATTTTTTTTTGAGGATATCCCCCATAAAAAAAAAATTCATTTATCCACATTAAAAAAATTCCAAATAAATATTAAATTTGTATATAAATTGTCAATAACTTTTTATCTGTTTTTTTTAACACTAAAAAGGGGTAATTACATATATATATATGTTAATTTTAACAATAATAAATCATTTTAGTATTTTCAATAAATATTTTTTACATATAAAAAAAGTGTGGTTTTTTTTTTTTAAATTTTTCACTCTGCAGATCAATAACTTTAAAATATTTTTTATGATTTAATATGCAAATATAATGAATTCTTTTAATTGAATAAAATTTTATATATAGGGATAATTAAAAAATGATTTAAAAAAAAAAGAAAAAGAAAAAAGAAAAAATAAAATTGATAAAAATAGATTGTTGCTTTGAATGAATTTTTTTTTTGAAATTTTTTTATTTGTTTTTATTATATTTATTTTATTAATAAGCTTTACCTAAATCAATTTTCTTTTTGAGGTTTTTAGTTGAATAGTAAATAAATGAATCAAAAATACCAAAGACAGTGAATACACCACCGATGATAGCACAAACATTGGTGAGGAATGAGGCAAATGATTTTCCTTTTTCTGATACCTTCATCATAATTGGTGAAAGATCATACATAAAGAATAATCCTGGTAAACCAGTTGGCTCTTCACCTTTTTTGGCTAATAAACGATAATGTTCAGTAACTGAATATTGATTGGTGGCAATTCTGTTACCATTTAAACCTTCGTAAATTGTTGGAACTATTTTAATAAAATATTGGAACATACCAACACCAGCAACTAAAAATAGAATAAAAAAAAAAAAAGGAAATTAATATTTAGTACTATTAGGTTTTTTTATTAAAGAAACTTACCTTCAGTTTTAGTAACCTCATCTAATGGATTTTTGATACCTGGGAATTCATTACCAACTGCAAGTTTGTTAATAGTGTGGCTCATATTGAATTGGCCGTCTTTAAATGGTTGAAGATCATGAACGTGCATATGATGTTGTTGGAAACTTTTGCCTGGTGCAAAATGGAAATTACCAGCTACTTTATTTACAAGAATAAAACCATAAACCTGACAACCTTCACCATTTTGTTCAACAATGTTTTTAGTGAAACCTTCTCTAAGACATTGAGAAACGGTACTTGGATCTAATCCCCAACCTTTTTTACTATAAGCATTTCTAACCTCTTCGCAAGTATTACAACATGGAATCCCTCTTGCTGGATCCTCTGCACCATAACAACTTCCACATCCTTGAACATCATTTTCATTCTTTACAATTTTTTTATTAATTTCTGTAAAAATAAAAAAATAAAAATTTAAAAAAAATATTAATTATTTGATTTGAACCTAATTGATGATTATTTGAATATATTACCTTCTTCTCTAATTGGTGGTTGTTCAATAATTGGTTGACCTGTAGATGATAATCTTTTTTTAAATATATTATGTGCTACATCAAATTGATGTTCACCTGAAACATCCATAGCATCCAAACTTAAATCTATATATATGTTAAATTATTAGCTAAATCTTTTCCAATATAAACTAGATATCTAAATATCCACAATGATGTTAGTAGTAAAATAATAAAATACTTACATGCGCATGGTAAGTGATGGAAAGTAATATCCATATTAATTTTTAATTTTTCACCACGGGTTGTATCTACAAATAACTCATGATGAATATCTGTTGAAAAATATAATGTTACTTGTGAAAAGAATAACCATAATATAAAAATTCCTCCAACAATTGATACTATAATATGATATTTATATTTTTAAACATATTAGTACTATAACAGCTATATCTTATAAACCATAGTTTCTATCTTACCTATAGCACCAGTAAATGTTTTAACTCTAAAATCGTCGACTGTTTTTGGATATGCATCAAACTTTTTAAGTTGTGATACCATCAACATTTTGTTATGTATATATTATATTACAAACAATCTAAATTGTTTTATCCTAAATAGTCGAAATAGGTTAAAAGAAAATAGATTTATATAAAAAAAAAATAAAAAAATAAAGAAAGATAAATGGATAAATATAAAAAAAAAGAAAATGATAAAAAAAAAAATTTTAAAAAAAAAGGAATTTAAAAAAAAAAAAAAAAAATATTTTTTAAATTTTTTTTTATTTGGTGATGATGTGTTTTAATAATTTATTTTTGGGAAACACTTACCCCATTTGATTAAGATAGGTCTTTTTAATTAAAAAAAAGAAAATATAGGAAAGGATTTATTAATATAACATTAACTATGGTTTTGATAATGAAATAAAAAAATGTTATTTTCTAAATATAAAAAATTAATCACAAATAAACGATTAAAAAAAAAAAAAGTTTATATTATTAAATGAAATAAAAAATCATTTTATATCATTTAAAACATTAAATTTTATTTTTAATTTATATTATTTATTTTATATTTGTTTATGGGTGACAACGACCAGTGAAACGTGGGTATGAACAAACATCTCTAATATGTGGGAGACCTAAGATCCAGGTAAGGAAACGTTCAACACCTAAACCATAACCACCAGTTTGACCGGAACCATATTTTCTTTGATCGGTGAACCAATAGTATTGTTCAGCATCGAGCTCTTCTCTCTTGTAGGCATTTAATAATTCATCATAGTCTGAAATTCTCATACTTCCACCAACAATTTCACCAACACCTGGCATTAAAAGATCAAGTGATTCGGTTAATTCTTTATCTTCTGGACATCTCTTCATGTAGAAAGCTAATTAAATAAATAGAATTAATATGATATAAAAATAAAAAAAATAAAATAAAAAAAGATATTTACCTTTCATGGCATGTGGGAAACGACGTAAGAAAATTGGGCAACCTAAAGCAGAAAATAAAATAATTAGTAAATCTATAAATTATATCACTATTTTTAAATTTATATGTTATTAACTTACCAATTTGGTCATTCATTTTACGTTCTTGAGCTTCTGGAATATCATCACCAAATTGGAAATCGGATTCAGTACCATCTTCGTTAACTTTTTTGATACCATTCTTAACACAATATTCAATGGCTTCTTTATAGTCCATTCTCATGAATGGTCTCTTTGGTACAGCGACATCTTCTTTAATTGAACGGACGAGATCACCATCAATCTTGAGCATACGTTCAACAACATCACAAATTAAAAATTCGATTCTATCAGTAAGATCTTCGAATGTAATAAATGGCATTTCAGCTTCTAAATGAGTGAACTCACTTAAATGACGACGAGTACGTGCTTTCTAAAATTATAAATTAAAAAAATACATTAATATATTTTTCTATAACATCATATTATTGTTATTTATTTGTTTATTATAATAAACCATAATATTACTTACTTCACTACGATATGATTGGGCAATACAGAAAACATCACCAACAACTGGACACATAGTTTCTAAATATAATTGTGATGATTGGGTTAAGTAAGCTGGTGTACCAAAGTAATCTAAAGTGAAAAGTTCAGAACCACCTTCACAGAAAGTGTTAACTAAAGTTGGTGGATTCATTTCGAAATAACCATTGTGATAGAAATGTTCTCTGAAAGCTTGTAATGCAATGGATCTAATTTTCATAATGCTACTAGCACGGGTACCTCTAAGGAGAATGTGACGTTGATCGAGTTGTTGATCAACATTTGATTCAGTATTGATAATACCTTCTAAATCGGCACTTGATGAACCAAGTAATTCCCAATAATCAGCGTTTAATTCTACACCACCTGGGCAAGTTTTACCAGCTGGTGGGATACTGAGAGTACCAATGATTTTAACGGTAGCTTCACGTTTAAGTTGTTCAACAATTGATGGATGAACTAAATTACCACCCATAACACATTGAAGGAAACCAGTACCATCACGGAGTTCTAAGAAAACAATTTTCTTTTGGTTTCTGACATGGTGTAACCAAGCATTGACTTCAACTCTAACACCATCAAGTTTTGGTGAGGCATCTCTTAATTTAATTTTTTTGGCGGCTGGGAGTGATTTATCTTCTGTTAATGTAATTGCTGCTAATTTTTCTTCAACCTTTTGAACTGGAGTTGCAGCTTGTTTCTTTTCTTTTTGTTCAACAACTTTTGGACCTAAAGTGGTTTCTAATTTTTTATCTAATACTGTAGTATTAAAAGAAAAAAAGATTATAATGTTAATATTTCTTAAAATCCAATAATTAAAGATGTTATTATACTTACATGTTTTAACAACTTTGAAATCAGCCCATTTGAGATCTTCGTTTCTTTTTAATGGATTTAATAAATCACCAATTGGGATGTGCCATCTATTTAAATTTTATTTAAATAAATTTAAAAATTAAAAAAAAAAACAAATTTTTAAAAAAAAAAAGAAATCGTTGTTAGAATGAATAATTAATGATGATAGTTTGATTGTTAATTATAAATTATAATATTACTTCTTTTCTGAAATTTCAGCAGCTTTTTCAGCGAATAAGGCATCAATGGATTTTTGGATTTGTTCTTCAGTAATGACAATACCAACACCACAATCTTTGTTGAATTTAGCTTCGTCAAATGAAGTGTTATCTTTTAAAAATTGAATAGCGCTCTTTAATTGGAGATCTGATTTGATTTTTTCTTCAGCAATAGCTTTTGAGACATTTGCACGAATTGGTGAGTTGATGTTACCAACTGCTAATGAATAAAGGTTGTTACCAATTGATTTATCACAAGTTGTGACACCTGCTTCAGTGATGATTGATTTTAAAGTTTGGGTAAGAGCTTCGTTTTTAAGAGTATCTTTGGCTCTCTTTTGGTCTAAGCCAATTGAAAGGAATAATTGTTCTGTTTCGTTTGACATTATGTTTAATATATTAAAAATATAATTAAATATAAAAAAAAAAAAAAAATTTAAATAAAAAAAATTTGGATATCGAGAAAAAAATTTTAAAAAAAAAAAAAAAAATTTTTAAAAAAATGAAAAAAAATGAAAATAAAAAAAAACAATAATTATTTATTTATTATACAAATATGTGTATTGTTTATAAAAAAAATAAGTTTAAGTTAAAATTAAAACTTCTTGAAATTTTCCCAAAAAATTAAAAAAATTAAAAAAATTAAAAAAAATTTTATTTTATACAAAAATAAATAATTACTATTTTTATAATATTATAAGAAAAAAAAAAAAAATTAAAAATAAAAACATTTATTACTATTTTGTTTTAATTTTATCTTTTTTTGTATTTTTTGGGAGTTGGACAGGAGTGGGAGATTTTTTTTCAATTTTTGGGGCGGTGGAATACATAAAAGTACCGATAAATACCAAACAGGTACTTATGAATAATAAAAATGTGAGATCGTTTTTAAAATAGATTACCGAGATAATAATGCTGATGAACTTTCTGATACTGATTACTAAAGTACAAGTGAGGGTACTGGTTTTACCAGTTAAAATAAATACACCTTGAATACAAACATATTGTGTTATTACATTGATAATTAAATAAACCCATAATGATGGATATTCGCCCAAACCAAATGGAAGTTCTAATAATTGAGATTGATTATTAATTAGAATATGTTGTATAATATCGTCCTTTAAAAATAAAAAGAATGGTAATGATAATAAATGCTATATTGATTAAAAAAAAAAAAAAAAAAAAAACCCAAATTAGTATAATGCATTATACATGTTTTTATACATCTAATAAATAATTACAGAATAAAAAATAGTTTCATAGTGACGGTCTTTTCCATAAAGTCTATAGGTGCTCTCTTGAATTAAACCTAAAATGGATGATAAAAACATTGCTGTGGTAAGCATTAAAATTCCAATTGAAAATTTAAAAACGTTTGATTCTTGTCCAAACGAAATATCCTTTTTCTAAAATAAAAAAATAAAATAAAAAATTAATGGTCAGATAAAATAATAATAATAATAATGATGATGATTTTGTTAATATTTACACTATCTGGCATCGAGTTAAATGTTGCAAAAATAATACCTAAGGTGACCATAAATAAACTAATAACCTGTTGTTTGCTATAGGACTTTTTGTAGAAAATTGAACCAATGAAAATGGTTGATAATAATGATGAGGATCTAAAAATCATATGGAATGGTACTGGTATATCATAGTCCAATGCTTTATTATTTAAAACTGATAATATAAAAAATATTGATACCATTAAAAAATAGGTAGTCATGGGTATTTTTCTCTCACGGAATCCAATCGGTATTGGTATTATGCCATATTTTACTTTCCAAATTACATTAACAAAAAATGCAATAATTGCCACAGTCAAAAATTGAAAAAATGTTACTAAAACTGCGTGTGATGAAGATTCTCTTTTTAAAAATAAGTAATTCAGTCAGTAATTTGTGACAAACATATGGACCCCTGCCCAACTGTGCACATATTTTAATTTAATATTTACTTTATAATTAATTCTAATGTTACAACATTGCTACAACACCCAAGCATAATCATGGACATTGGTAAAATTGATGTAAATACATCAAATATCATTTTATTTTATTTTTAGTTTTTTCATAAAAATTATGAAAAATAATATTACTATACAAAAAAAAAATAAAAAATATGTGAAAAATAAAAAATGAGTAAAAAATTAAATAAAAAAAACATTTTTTTTTTTTTTTTTAATTTTTTTTTTAATTTTTTTTTTTTTCATTTATTTTTTTTTGTTTTACTTCATTTAATTTTATCTCTTTATCTATATTTATCTATATTTATATATTCATAAAAAATGAACTCATTTAAAAGACTTTTTAATCAAAGATTTGGTAAATATTAAAATAGAAAACTGTAATTGGAATTGTTTAAACTAATTTTTTTTTTTTTTTTTTTTTTTTTTTCATTTTTTGCTTAATAAATTTTTTATTTTTATACACACCCACTTGATGAAATATGATTGATTAATTCATTTGTTAAATATAGTTAGAAACTTTTCATCTTTTTCAATCACACAAGAACAGGTTTTAACTAAAGATTCAAACAGAAAAAGAGGTAGCCGTTTTGTTAAATTTTTATTATTTACAGCAGTTACCAAAATTACATATGATTGTACAAACTCGGCAATGGCCTATTATAAGGGTGAAAACTCAACTACAGAATCAATTGTTGATCAATCATGGAATGAAGTTTTATATCCAGTATTCCAAACCGTCATTCAAGATAGAGAGGTTATGAATGCATTAGGTCAACAAATTACACTTTCATCACCACCACCACAATCAAAAACACCAATTGTCGAATTAAAGAGAGATTTTAGATTAAAATTTGCACCAATCGATTTCACTCCAGGTCAATTTTACGATCACCAATGGTTCCTCCAAAAACTTGGTGTTGGAAATAAACAAGTCATCGAATTAGATAAATTAACACCAAAAGAAAAAGAACATCTTAATAAAGGTATTTTACAAGAAATCTATGATGATATTGTCGAACTCCCATTATCTGAACAACTCTCAAAACTCCCATCACAATATCTTCCATTATTAGTACCATACAAAAATAGAATTTTCCCAATTATTTATGGCGAATCAACATCAGATATAGCCATTCCAATTCAAGGCCCAAAAGGCAAAGCAAATATTTTATTAAATTTATATGCTAGTGACGATAAATGGACTGTAAGAGGTGCCGAAGTAATCTTTGAAAACGATAATTTAAAAAAGAAACAAATAATTAAACCAACCTCCGACGAATTATAATAAATATAAAAAATAAAAATAAAACAATAATTTTAAATCAAATACACACACTACTGTTAATTTTTAATTATATTTTAATTATTGGTTTACTAACTAATACATTTATTTAATTGTTTTATTTTTTTTTGGTTTTTTTTTTTTGGTTTCAATTTTTTGATTTGGATTTTAATTGATTTTTTTTTAAATTATATTATTATTATTTTAATTGTTATGATTGGCATTCTTTCTTTGGTCATTATATTTCTTCATCTTTTCTGCGAAGTGACTGTGGAGATCAGCTTGGTTAACTGATTGATCTGATCCTGAGAGCCAAGCATCTTCAATACATTGTTTAGCGGTATATCTTTGATCTGGGTCTTTGACAATTAAATTTCTAATAAAGTTTTTAGCTGCATCTGATACATGGGTCCATTCTGGTTCTGGGAAATCATAATCAGCTGTAAGAATTTTTTCAAATAAGAGATTTTGTGATGATGCATAAAATGGTGGGAAACCACAAAGTAAAATATAAGTAATAACACCAATACTCCACATATCAACTGCATTGTCATAGGATCCTCCAGTTAAAACTTCTGGTGCAACATAATCTGGGGTACCACAACTGGTTTCTAAGGCTTCACCGCCACCAAAGATTTTACTTAAACCAACTATACAAAAAAAGAAAAAAAAAAAAAGAAAAAATTAGTATGATAATGATGATTATAATTTGGGTAATAAGCCACTTACAATCAGCAATTTTAATTGTCATATCATCGCCATCACCACTACATAAAAGATTTTCTGGTTTGAGATCTCTATGAGCAATACCTTGAGAATGAAGATATTCAACACCGTTGCAAACTTGTCTAACAACATTACGAGCATCTTTTTCAGTGAATGAACCACGTTCAACAATTTTATAAAATAATTCACCACCAGTTACTAATTCCATAACAAGGGTAAGATGGGAATCACTTTCAAAGATTTCTTTTAATGCTAAAACATTTTGATGATTGACTTTTTTCATAATATCAATTTCTCTTCTTAATTGTTCGATGTGCTTCTTCTTTACAAATTTCTTTTCAATATATTTAAGTGCAACTTTTTCATTATTTGTTTTTTTAGTACCTTCACGTACAACTGAAAATGCACCTCTACCTAATTCTTTACCAACAACATAAAAATCTTCGACATTACCTTGTGAAATATCCTCTGTATAAAAAAGAAAATATTAGTTAGTAATATGCTTATTATAATTTTGATTAAGATATTTATTTATAGAAAAAAAAATAGATATAAAAAATAACAATCAGTTGGAAAAAAAAAAATTCCAACTGTTTTTTTTTTTTTTTTTTTTTTTTTTTTTTGGAGAGATAATTTTATTACACAAGGACAAAGAGATTTAAATTTTAAATTTTAAATAAAATTTTAAAAAAGATAATAAAATAAATAATTACTTACGGGCTGATGAGATTTTTTCTTCTGCTCTTACTTCAGCTGTTTTGACTGATGGTTCGCTTGTGCTTGGAGTATTTTTGGTTTGTGAATCAACACTGACCTTTGCTTCTTTTGAATTAAAACAACCCATTTTTCTCTGTTTTTTTATATTTTATGTGTATTATTTTATTTAAAGAACTTTGTTTCTTTCTAACTGATAGTTTCTTTTTTCTCTTTTAAAATAATAATAATTTTTTGAAAATTTATTTTTGTTTTTTTTTAGTTTAAAAAATTTATTATTATATTATTATCAAAATAAAAAAAAAAATATATTTATTATTATTATTTAATTGTTTTATTTGTTAAAAAAAAAAAAATATTCTATTTTTGTCTTTGTAAGAGGAAAATGCTGTTTTTTTTTTATTATTTTAAAATGAATATAATTTATTTATTTATATAATTACACTGGGATACAAAAAAAAAAAAAAAAAATTTAAAAAAATTTAAAAAAAATAAAAAAAAAAAAATAAAAATAAATTTTAAAAAAAAAAAATAATAAAAAAAATTAAAATAAAAATAAAAAAATAATGGTTAACCCACTATCAATAATAATTTTTAAAAAAAATAGTGATATTTTAATCATTCATATACACACATATGTGTATCCAATTAATGGATAACTGTATTTTTTAAAAAAAAAAAAAAATACAGTGTGTTAAGTGTGAGTGTTTTATTTATATGTGTACATGTGTGTTGGGAGTGTTAAGCCTACACCTATATATAGGATTCCATAATCAAAATTTATTTATGATGATCTAATATGTGTGTTTTAAAACACAAAGTTTCTTTTTTTTTTTTTTTTTTTTTCTTTTTTGATAAGATTTATATAAACTAAAATTTAGCATACATATAAATTTTTTTTTTATATTTAAAATTTTTTTTTATTTAATTTTTACTTGGCTATTCAACAAAATTTAAACTATATATGTAATACACATTAAATATAGTTTAAAAAAGTGTTTGGTGTGTTGTTGATGATTAATGATATAACTATGATGATTGTTATTGTATGTGAATATTTACTTTGTGGTAATAATAGTAGTAATAGTATATGATAAAGATAATTTTGGATTATGTGTTTGTGTGTTTGGGGGTAAATTGAGTTATTATTTATTTGTGATGTGTTAAAAAAAGGGGGTTATTGTTAGTGTGATGGTTTAATATTAATTATTATTTTGGTTGTTTAATATTTTATTATTTTGGTGGTGCCGATATAAATTTTTTTATGTGATGATATTTTTTTTCTTTATTTCTTAGTGTCTGAGGTTAAAAAAAAAAAAAAAAAATATTGAGAGCTACCATCTTTATATTATATATTACGTGGAAATGATTGGTTTGAACGATTGTCGATTGATTTTGATTACTGTGTTACTATTATTTTTATTATTATTATTACTATTTATTTGTAAATATTTAATGATTATAATTATCTGATGGTCTATAAAGTATATAAACTAAATCGTTTTCATGCAAAATAGTATCTGATGGTGGACAAGTAAAAACATAGGGATTTGGAGCACCAGTAATTTCTTTACAACGATATAAACCTAAAGGTAAAATATTTTTGTGGATTAAAGTCTCAAACAATTCGCTATATAAATGACCGTGATATTGTGATGGAACTTTAATTTGATTAAGCAAGCATTGGTTTGGTGATGAGTGTGGATTAACATGATTCCAAAAACCGCTTTGGCTTAATTTTGAATTAATATTTTTATAACCTAAATTTGTGCTACTACCATTACGTGATCTACTAAGGGTATTACTTGATGATACATTTGAAATATTATTTTTAGAGGATGATGATGAGGTGTTGTTTGCAGCATTGAGGTGTTCATCTTCACTGTCTGAACTATCGCCACTATCATAATCACTATCGTCACTGTCACTATCTGATTGATTTCTAATTAATTTACGATAATATTTTCTGATACCATTTACACCCAATACTAATTCATTTGCGACATCTAAAAGGTATTCTTGATGGTTTGCTTGACATAGTAAAGAATCTAATGTGGTAAGTGTAAGTACTTTACCAGATGCAAATTCTGATGTGATATAGTAGTTTGGCTTTTCAATTTCACCATCTTCCTTCTTTGTAGCTTTGCTACCAATTTTAGATGATTTGATATTCTTTGAAATGAATCTAATGTTTGGTTCGTGAACCAACTCAACGGTTAAAAAGCTTGATGGGTTTGGATGGTTTTGGAAAACTTCATTAATTTCTAAAAATGCCATAATTGTTTGTGAGTCTAATTGTACTGAGGTCTTATCAGTAAGATTTGAATTATGATGCTCTTTATATGGATCTGATAGGATAATAATTTTACTAGCTAGATGAATCTTTACATTGTCTAAATCTTTTCTTTCTAATGGTGAGCCTTTAAAGTAAAACACATCGTCTATATCATCCCAGTCAGACATATCAGGCTCGTCGGGGTGTAAAATTACAATGATTGGTGCAGAGTTATCTGAATGGTCGCTAATATTTGTGGAGTTTGATAAATTGGTTTGACTACTTGGATTCTTTAAATGATAGAAATGGTTCAAGTTATCAGAGATATATTTTTGTCTAAGGCCTCTAATAAAAAGATCTATTTTGTTGATTGAACCACAAATGATGATATGCTCTTTCCAATTGTTTTCTTCTTTTGAATCTTCAGAGTATTCGTCTAGATTTCTGTTTCTTTCAATTGATTCTAAAACTGGCTCTAAATCTTCAACAATTGATTCCATATGTGCTTTCTTTGAGTCAATCGATTCGATAACTGTTGCAATAACTTCATTCCAATTCGATTCAAATTCTTCATTACATAATGCGACTAATGGTGAGATTTTATCATCATTTAGATTTATGTCATCTAAATTTTCATTATTATTATTAATACTATTATTATTTAATAAAATTATTGGATTTGTTAAAAGTGGTTGAACATCTGAACTATTATTGTTATTATTTGCAATTAAAATTTGATTTGGTGAGTTGCCACTACCACTACTACTATCGCTATTTTCATTTGTTGGTGGTGATAATACATCCATTTCAATTGTGTTGTTGGTAAAAGTTGAGGTAAAGAATGTTTTAACATTATCATTAAAAATAACATCACTTGAATCATTAAGCTCTTGAAAATTTCTAATTTCGTCTGGTACGAATAGTTTGTTATAAATATTCTTTATGTATGAGGTCTTTGGGATTTCATCGTCATCTAAATCTTTTCTAATAATTGATGGAACATTTGGTTTAAATGTTGGGGCTGATGGACTGTGTGCAATAATAATTAAATTCATTGTACTTGTTAAAACTGTTGAGAATGGTGGATGAATTACAAATTTATTCTTTTTTTGTTTGAATCCATGATGATGGTGATTATAATGGTGATGACCGTTTTTATTTGGTGATGTTGGTGGTTGTGGTTGGGATGTAGGTGTTGTATTATTTGTTTCAGCCTCATCAATATAACCTAAAACCAATGCCTTTGCTCCAGAGTACATAATCTAGGTATTACAAAGAAAAGTGTTAATATATTTTTTTAAATAATAAAAAATTTTTTTGTTTATATAACGTGCGCCAAGTAAAAATTGAATAACTTACAGATGTAACATATAAAAATGTTTCTCCAACGAATGCTAGTGGTACAGGAATTTTATAAATTGAATTTACACTGCCATTACAATATTCACCAATCCATTTATCTTCATCCCCTAAATCAGGTTGACGCGAAGTGAAAAGATTACAAACTAAAGTACCAAATCCAGGACAAAGAGTACTTTGAACCAAAATACCATTTCTAAAATCTTCAATACACATTATGTATTTAACACGTGCTGAAATTTTATATCTATTTTCGTGATGAAGTAATTGTACAAAAATTTTTGAACCTTGTGGTTTTAGGTTTTTCATTGCTAAAGCTGTTAATACTGCAGTGGAATCTCCATCTTCCCAATATAATGGTCTAAAAATAAAACATGAAGATGAATGAATATACCTAGCTCTTTTTAAATCATTTTCAAGCTGTATTTAAATTAAGGAGTTAATAAATTGATTGTATGAAATTAAAAATTTAATATATATAAAGCTTACCATTGGTGAACCTTCTAAATAGGTAATTCTATTTTTATAAAATGGATGTAACAATAAAAGCTTTAATTGATCCGATGGAGGATTTGGTGATAAGATTACTATATTCTTTTTTAATTGACCGTATTTTTCTAAATAAAACTCAGTTAAAAATTCTAACAATGATGTAAAATTAATATCACCACATAAAATTACATGACCATGAACAGTGCTTTTTGATAAATCTCTTTTATATGCTGAAGAAATAAAAAAGTGTTAATATATAATGTAGCTATATATTTTAATAATTTTATACATACGAGAATATGAATTTAAAGTTTCTAATAATCTTGAAACTTGGTATGGAATTAATACAGCACCGACAACAACACAAATTGTAATTGTAATTTGACCTACTGCATTGGTTGGATGGATATCACCATAACCATCAGTTGTTAATGTTACAACAAAAAAGTAAATAGTTTCATGAAATTGTAGTGCACGGTTATGAATTGGTGAAACGTCAATATTCATATAAAATGCAGCAAAAATCATAATAAATGTAAAAATTGCAATAACAACTCTAAATAAATATTGTGTAATATCTAGTTTACAATATAGATATGGATATGATTAGTAAACTATTGGTTTTTAAATTGTCTATACTTTATATCTATATTTACCGTTAAAATAATGTAATACTCTATTGGCTCTTAAAATTCTAACAGTACGTAACACACGTAGGAATTGAAAAGTACCAAGTTCGTTAAAGAATTGTCCAGTGGAAATATCGATATAAATTGGTAATACAGTAACAAGATCGACAATTGAAAAGAATGAAAATAAATATTTTAATCTATCTTTACTGATAAAGTAATCGAGAATCCAATGCACAGTAAAGAATATAGTAAGTGCAATTTCTATCCATGAGTATGCTAATGGTGGTGAATGGGTAATATAGGTACCATAAATAAATACTATTACTGACAATATTGATAAAAATGTTTGGATTGCTTCCTGCAATATTTTAATTTAATCCGAAAGTGTTAGTATGTCATCGGATATAAAATATTAATATTCAAAAAACAAAACTTACAATCCACTGTATAATACCTGAAACTGTCAAATAAACTTCTGCTCTAGTTCTGAGGGAAAGCTTCTTTGATGGTTTTTTCTTGCCACCTCTCGTTAATCTCGAGATCAATGTAATTGATGATAATACAAACAATACTATAAACAACACATAAATTAATAATAATATATGTTTAAAAATAATGGCAAACCCTGGGGGCTGTGGCGCATCTGTTATAGCATTTTCTATTTTTGATATTCTCGTGGATGATGTTGATGATCCTTCTACCACCATTATTTTACTCCTTATATTTATCTTTTATTTATTTTTTATGATTATATACCTTGTTTTTTTTTAAAACAAAATAAAAAAAAATAAAAAAACACTTAATTATTTAAAAATATAAATATAAGAGAAAATAATTATAGTAATACAATATATAAAAGGTATAGAAGTTTACTAAACAAGGTCGTTTTTTTTTAAATATTTTTTTGTTTTTAAAAAAATTAAAAAAAATTAAAAAAAAATAAAAATTTTTAAAAAAAAAAAAAAGTTATCAAAATATTTTTATTTGTTTTTTTTTATTTTTGATTTTATTTTCTCTTATTCCATTCCAAAAAAAAATAAATATAAATATATTTTGGTATTATAATACTAAATGTAAATAGATATAATTCTATACCATTAATAGAATTTTTTTATTATAAAATAATTATAATACTAATTTTTTTTTTTTTTACTTTTTTTATTTTTTTTTTTTAAATTTTATATTTTTTATTTTTTTTTTTATAAACTCATCGTTTTTTTCAATTGTATTTTTTTTTGACCCCCTTGTTTTTTTTTTAAACACAACAGCATTTTTTTTTTTTTTTTTTTTTTTTTTCATTTCTTTTTTTTTTTTTATATATTTATAAATTATAGATTTTAATTTTGTAAAAAAACAACAACAAAAAAAAAAAAGCAATGGTTAAAATGGACATGACCTTAAAAGGTCGAATAAAACAATCAATAAGATCATGCACATTCAAAGATTTTAAAGTTCATTTAGTATTGTTATCAGTATGTTTGGTATTTTCAGTTTTTTATATTATCACCAAAAAAACATTAAATCAAATAGATGTATGGGTTTTTTTAACTCTTCGTTTAGCGATTGCCACCCCTATATTATGGATATGTGCATTTATAGTGGATACAAAGGAAATGTTAAAGCTGCCAAATAAAAAAGAATTGTTATTTTTATCACTTTCTGGTATTCTATCAGTTACAGTCAATCAATCCTTATTTTTATTAGGTTTAAGTTTATCAGTAAGTGTTTGTGCATTTTTATATAAATAAATAATAAAATATTTATTTTTTTTTTTTTTTTTTTTTTTAGACAGCATCAAATGCAGCCATCACACAACCAGCTATCCCAGTATTTAGTACAGTATTTGGAGTACTTTTGGGATTTGAAAGAAAAACAAAGCTAAAATTCTTAGGTATTGCAACAGCAGTTATAGGATGCGTTTTAATGGTAGATTTTACACACCTTACATCAGAGAACTCATCTTCAAGAGATATATTATTGGGAAATTTATGTTTTTTGGGTAATACTGTAGCCTATGCAGTCTTTTTAATGGTTCAAAAGCCACTTGGAGATAGAGGTATCAGTGCAATTAAGATCATGGCATGGTCATTTGGTATTGGTTCACCACCAGTAATATTATTTGGTCTTTTATACACCGATAATATCTCTCATGCTGTTGCCTCGATTACAGTATGGCCATGGATGGCTATTCTATATTGTGCAATATTAGCAACAGCATATTGTTTCTTTGCAAGTAGTTGGGCAGTTGCCAAAAGTAATGCTGTTACAGTCTCGGTATATTTGTGTGTAGAACCACTAGCAACAGGTATTTTAGCAACTATATTTTTACCAGACGAAATTCTAACTCTTCTAAACATATTTGGTGGTATAGTTATGGTTTGTGGTGTTGCTCTTGTAATGGTCTCCAAATATCGTGAAAAGAAAAAAGACGAATTAGATAATTTCGAAAAAGAAAAACTTAAAAGATACGATATGAACAATAGTGCTGTAGAATTAAATACTTTATCACCAGAAGCCATTATAAATATTTCAAAAGAAAATTCATATAGCAAAATAATTTCTTCAAATTCAATTATAAATGAAAGTGATGAAAACGAAGAGTTTAGCGATAATAAAAATCAAGAAATTGAAATAGATAATATAAACGATAGTAATAATAATAATAATAATAATAATTTTAACAACAATATAAATATTCAACCATATTTTAACGGTAATAATTTATTAAACCAATTTAAACAAGAGGAGGAAAACGAAGATAATGATCAAGAAATTAATTTAAATGACTCAATAGATGACTCAATTAAGGGAGGCGGCAGTATTTTGGTTTTCTAAAAAATAAAAAAAAAAAATTAAAAATTCAAGAGAAATGGTGTGATAAATAAATAATTATTTCTATATTTTGTCAATTTATTATAAATTATAATAAAATTTTTTAAATAAATAAAAAAAAAAACTATGGGTTATATTTTTTTTGAAGAAAATTGGTTCTGTTTTTAGATTTACTAAAAATATTTTCTTTGAATAAAATATTTAAGTATATCATGTGTAGATACTTTTAAATTTCCTTTTTAAAATAAATAGAAAAAATAAAATAAAAATAAATAAAAAGAAATTATTTTTAATTAATTTTATTTTTTATTTTATTTTTATTTTATTTATATAAAAAATAAAAAATAAAAATAAAAATAAAAATAAAAATAAAAATAAAAATAAAAATAAAAATAAAAAAAAAAAAGAAAATGAAAAAATATTTAAATTCTTTTTTTTTTATTTTTATTTTTATTTTCAAAAATATAAAAAAAAATTTCTAAAAGTTAAAACACTTTTTTCGAAAATTCCAATCACTTACACAAATAAATATCTTTTTTTTTTTTAATAGACACAAAAGCTGATAATCACACATAAACGATAAATAATTTCATAAAAAGGATTATATATGAATATAAACAATAGTTAAAATAATGTATGTTTCATTGTAATGTTTTTTTTTTTTTTTTTAATATTTTTAATTACTTTTTTATTAGATAAGCACTAGATAAATAATTACACGAACACAACACACTTTTGTTTTTAAAAATTATTTTAAAAAAAAAACCCACACCCTTTTTTTTTTTAATCTTTTTTTTCATTTTTTCATAATTTTTTAAAAAAAAAGCATTAGTTTAATAATAATAGCATTAATATAGGTGGAATTAATCCATTCATATAAACCACACACTTCTCCATACATACATCTAACAAAGCTTTAAAAGATTGGTAATATAATATCTATAAAGGTTGTTTGTTTGTGTCATTGGTTTTTTTTTTAATCTGCATATATAACACATAAAATTTAAAGATAGTAATTTAAAACAATTAATTAATTTATATACAAAGAAAAAAAGTATAAAGTAAAATAGTTTTACAATTTTTAATTTATTTCATTGTTTATTATAATTATTTTATTGTTTTATTATACTATTGTTAAATTTTGTTATAGTTATTTCCTTATTTATATAAATTATTATATTATTTTTTTATTATTTAAACAATACTTTTTTTTTTTTATTATTTATTTTATTTTTTTTAATTTTTTAATTCATCCATTCAAAATTTTTTTTTATTATTACTCATTTGTTTATTTAATTTTATTATAGTATCAGCAGTAAAAACTAACAAAACTTTATAACCTATAGTTATTAAATAAAGAAAAAGAAAAATGAATCAATTTGAAGATGTTATTTACCCAAACGAAATTTCTCATGTTACAACCAATGTAGATTATATAGAAGAAGATAAAAATAATGAAAATAACGAAAATTATTTAAATTTAGTGTATGTATATTCAGACAATAATATATTTATTTTGTATAATTACAAATATTAATATAATATATTTATTTAATATAGTCAAATTTTAAGAGAATTAGTTGATAATAATTTAAAAGAAGAAATAGAATTTAAATCAATGGTAGGAGGTGTTACAAATACATGTATGTGGAACTTTATTTAAAAAAAAAGTTTAAAATTAAATTAATTAGTACTAATATTATTTTTTTTAAAAAAAAAGTATATAAATCATCATTTATTACAGGACAAGGTAATAATAAAAGTGTAATTATTAGGCTATATGGAAAAGGATCAGATCAATTTATTGATAGAAAAACTGAAGCAAATATTCAATATTTATTAAGCAAAAATGGAGTTGGTCCAAAATTTTATGGTACATTTGAAAATGGATGCATTTATGGATATGTCGAAGGTGATCAATTACAATTAGAAGATTTGTACAATAGAAATATATTAAAGCTAATTTCACAAGAGACCGGCAAATGGCACACACTTGAATTAGATTTACCAAGTAGAAAAGAAAATATAGCATCAAATACTTCATTATTTTCAAATATTAACTTATGGATGGAAAATGCAATTCAATTAGTAAAATCAGCACCAACCAGCTCACCAATTTCAGAGATCAATATAGAGCACTATAGAGACGAAGCCTTGTATTTAATGGGGTTCCTCGAAAAACACTATGGCGGTGATAATTTGAATAAGCACGTAAACTTTTGCCACAATGACCTTATCCCAAGAAATATGATTTACGATCAAGAGAAAAACCAAGTTAAATTCATCGATTTCGAATATTCTGGTTACAATTTTAGAGGCTACGATATTGGAAATTTCTTTTGTGAATTCTCCGGTCTAGATTTAGATTACACCAAATATCCAAGTATTGAAATTCAAAAAAGATTTATCAAGGATTATTTAATTTCTGTAAATAGTTTTAAACAAAATAAATTAAATAATAATAGTAAATCAAATGTTTATGAACCAACTGAAAAAGAAATTCATAGTCTCTATATTGAAGCAAATCACTTTTCTTTAGGTTCTCATTTGATGTGGGCTTTTTGGTCTATAATTCAATTTTTCAACTCCTCAATCGATTTCGATTATTTAGATTACACAAAAAAACGTTTTGCGCAATATACTTTAGTAAAAGAAAAAGTTTTGCTTTTAAAATAAATAATATATAATATATAATAAAGTTACGCTTTTAAATTTAATTTTTTTATTTTTTTTCTCTTTCCATATTTCGAATTCTTTTCCATTTTGCATTATTCTTGTCTATTGTAATTAATTAAAATATATTAAAGAAAAATAAATTCATGATGGAAATGGAATAAACAAAATCGAAAAATCACAAATAAAATACACCAAATAATAAATGATAAATTTTAATTTTTTTTTTTTTTGTTTAAAAGAAATTTATATTTTATTTTTTTACATTTTTTTTTTTTTTTATTATAACTCTATTAAAATTAAAAGATTAAAGAAATTATTACTAAAACAATAGCAAAAAGAGATGGAATAGCTTTAATGGCATTATTTGGATCTAAATTGTCATCGTGGTATGGATTTTTGGTTGGATTTGGATGGTTTGATGGGGTTGATGGGGTTGATGGAATTGGTTTGTAAACAAATGAATGGTATACATCATTTGATTTGGTACCTTGAGCAGTGAAGGTTTTATCACAATTTCTCTTTTTATATGGTGAAGGAGCAACATTTATTGGTGCATCAGAGCAGTCTGGAGATGAATATAGAGAGGTTTTTAAAGTATCTTTGTCACAGTTAACTTTAATATAGACTGTGGTATTGTATTCTTCTACCCATTTTGGAACACAGGAGTTGTTTACATATGTTGATATATAAAAGTTGTTGTTACATTCTCCATCAACATAATAAATATCATTACAGGAGCCCTCTGGTACATTTTCTAGTGCTTTTTCAACAGTTTTTCCTTCGATGGTGGAGTATGAGAATGAAGTTGTTTCACCATCAGGATAACATTTTCCGGACGATACAGTGGTTCCATATCCTGCAAAACTTTCACTATCACATGTGTATGGTTGTGAGCTGTTACGATCATAAAATGTTAATTGGTTGTCTCTAAGGTCATATTTATTTTTGAATGTACACAATGACATAATTTCAATATTACGAATTTTTCCATTACATTGATTTCCACTTGTGTGAGTGATTTTAACAAGTTTACCATTGGAAAATGCAAAAAATGATAATATAAGTACTAATAATAATTTCATTTTATTTTTTTATTTTTTTTATATATTTATATATAAAAAATAAATAAATACAATATTATTAAAGGTAAAAAAAAAAAAATGAAGGAATAAAAAAAAATATGAATATAAAAAAATTTTTATTTAAAAAAAATAATAAATTAAAAAAAAAATTAAAAAGACAATATTAATTTAAATATAAATATAATTTAAATATAAGTATATATAAAAAAAAATAATATATATGTGCAAAAAAGTGTTCATAGAGGGGGTATTGATAATCTTAATATAAATAAATTAATTTTGTCGGTAAAAAGTGGTTAAAATATAATATAGAGTAAGTGTATCTTAACTAAATATTGTAAATGTATAATTTCTTTTTTTATTTATTATACCCCAACAATTTTTGAATGGTATTTTTTAAGAGCAGTATATTTTTGGGAGTGGGTTAAATAGGGAAAAAATAAATATACAAATACTATTTATACCCCACACACTCATAAATATTAATTTTTTTTTAAAAAAAAAAAAAAAAAACATGCACATAACAAAAACAGTTAAAAATTACAAAAATAATATATCTGTTTTGATAACAATAATAAATCACTGTCATAAATCACAAATAAAAAAAACAACTTTTATATGAGTAAACAAAAAATTGTTGAATATTTTTTTTTTTTTTAAATAAATTTATTAAATATTTTTTATACAGTATTATTATTGTTATTGGTATTATTTGAAAGTAAACTGGTTGTTTCACCATTATTATTATCCTCTTCTTCACTTTGGCTAGTATCGTAATCATAATCATAATCACTATCATCATAATTATCTAATTCTTTAATATTATTATTATTGGTGTTTTCTATTATTGGTAAAATTTCATTATTATTACTATTATCATTATTATTATTATTATTATTATTATCATTATTATTATTATTATTTTGTTGATTTAATTTTTTATTTTTTTTAACTATTATTTTATGAGAGAAATCGTCATCGTTATTTAAATGATCTTGATTATAAAGGAAATAAGATGATGTACCAAATAAAGTATTATTTGGATTTTTTCTTCCAAATCTACCTCTTGAGAGAATGTATAGGTAATGATTTAATGTATCTTTAATTTGGAATCTATAATTTGAATATAAAATATAAATGGTGTGAAGCAAAAATACCAAACCACTGGGAATTACAATATATTGTTCTATATTTGTGTATACGATATTATCCAAGTAGACACAGCAAATAAATAATAGAGAGAGAGATGTTAACTCTAATCTATTATCAGAGATACGCTTGAATGGTTGATATCTTAATTGTAATAATACAGAGACCAAACTTACTACGACCAAAAGGAAGGATCTTTGTGGAGCAGCTGGATCCATAGTTGACATTAAAATAATTAACAATCTTCTAAGTAGTAAAATTACATCCCAAAAATAGAACTTGCTTTTATATTTGAGAATGAAAACACCATAGGTTCTTTGAGTATGTGGATCGTTGAAACTGTTACGATTCATGAACAATAAAACGAAAAGAATCGATGGGAACCCTATGATGACAACTAATAAAGCATAGCTAACATATAGACTGGTTTTATATTCACCTGTTAAACAGCTAACTGCATTATTGGCAATCAACAAGACGTATTCTCCAATATGTTCACAAAAGAAAATTTCGAATGTTGCTTTACCAATTGGGGTATAAATATTGAGTAATAGCTTGATAAGAGCACCATATTGTTGGCTAAGGAATGTTTGATTTGATGGTATTGAAATAGTTGAGTTTTCTAAAACTGTAGTGGATGAATTCATTGATTGGTCACTGAGTGAATATGGTTCAACAATTGATTTTGATAAACTGGTATTCTTTGAACCTGCAATAATTTCATAACCTGGAAGACTTATGTCATCGTTTATAATACTATATTCATCCCCATTGGTAGTTTCGTCATTATCTTCATCTGTCATACTTCTTTCACTTAAAAGCCTATCTCTTTCGTCACTCTTTTTAACGATTTCAGCTTTAACTCCTTCTGTAGTAATGATTGAATAATTTCTAATTGATTGATTATTATCGTTGTCATCTCCGCTGCTATTATTAATTTTACTTTTGATTCTATGAATTAATTTATAACGATAGACTAAATAAAACAAAACACTTGATATTAACAAAACAAACATTAACCATGGAGCTGCTAATAAAGTGAAATAATGTTGTTGGTAATAATCGAATGGACCTGGGCAAAAACCAAAAATACTTGAACCAGATGATGATGTTGGTTGGAATTGAAGATTTAATAAAGAAAGGAAACTAAATTTGACACCACTTGAAAGCACCATTAAAGTTTGGCCAAAATAAACGATAATTGTCATAAAACCTGATTCGGAATCTGAACTTTGAACCAAAATAATCATACCAATAGAACCCAATACAATTGCAACATAAACAATTGGACTAATTTTATCACATTTCTTGCAGCCATCACCCCAATCATAATAGCCAGGATCGCATTGAGCACATAGAGGACCTTTGCTATGAGCAGAGCAATTATTTAAATCACCCAAACAGTTTTCATTTGGACATGGAAGAATAACATATGGTGGGTTTGAATTATCATACCAATAGCCTGCTTCAGTTTTAACAACTGAACCTCCTGGACAAAGAGCATTTTGTGGACATTGATAACAATTAATGCCATCATAACCATATGAACCTGAACGGCAATCAATACAATCCATTTTAGTAGATGATGGGATTTGACCTGGTTGGCAACTATTAACTGAACTATTTGCTGGGTAAATTGGTAAACTTGGATTATTACTAAGGAACTCTACACTAACATTTGAACCTATTGGCCCAGATAAAGTAGTTTGATTAAATCGAGCAATACCAGTATCAGTTGGAACACTATCAATTGTATTACCTGCGATTTGAAGGAAAATCTTAACACTAATACCACTGATAACTTGATCAAGAGAATCTAAAATTGAAACTGTACCGTTATATTTGGTGACACCAGATTGGAATGAGGATGGGAAGGGTTGATCTAAAATAAGTTGACTTGGATTTGTTGCATTGTTTGGACCATATGCTGCGGTATTTTGTGAAAAAATTGTATTGTTACTGATATAAGGTTTATTACCATTATAAAATATAACACCACCTCCACCTACTGCTGAATTTGATACATAACTACCTCCTTCAATAGAAATTAAAGCACCGTTAGTTGATGAAATAACACCTCCTTGTTTTCCTTTATTTCCAGTAGCTTTACAGTTGATAAGAGAAACCTGAGAGTATGTAAAGATGCAACCAGAACTCTCAGGTGATGAGTTATCAGAGAAAAGTACATCGAAAAAAATAGATTGGGAACCTTCGTATTGCATTAAAACACTATTTGAATTATTTGTAAACTGTGATTGAATAACGGTCAAATTAGACTGACTTAAAAGATTTATAACTGTATCAAGATTGCCATTGAAATTAGTATTTTCAATGGTAACATTAGACAAAGGACTGATCATAATGAATGGAGTTTTTGAATACTCTATATTTGAATCTGAAATTCCGATTTTGGAGAATGAAGAATAGAAAAATCCATTTTGTTGCGAGAAATTTGAAGTTCTAATATCTACAGTACAATCTTGGAACACATGACTGCTAGTATAAATGTCATAAAATACTGTATTATTGATATTGATTGTAGTTTGGGTGGCATAAAAAGATCCATTTGAAGAAGAGATAGTTGATTCTGCAACAGAAAAGCTACCAAAAAATAAATAAATAGTGTATTGGTTGTCAGTATTTTCGATGGTGGATGAAAGTAATGTTAGTGTACTATCAGACGATGAGATTAAAGAATTTGACGAAATATTATAAATTGTAGTATTTGAGATTTCGACATTACTGAGTTCCATTGCAAAAATGGCCGCTCCAATATTACTATCTGAATTGTAAATATTAACTGAATCAATCTCTACGACTGAGCCTTGACTAATATAAATATTTCCTCCAGGACCGTTTTTTAAACTATTTTCAAAGAAATTTGAATGAGTAATTTTTGTATCACTTGAGATAATACAAAGAGCACCAATATTAATATTTGATATGTTACAATTGTTGATATTTGATTGAGAGGATCTTGAAAGCATAATTGAACATAAACTTTGAGAATCTGAGTAATTACCAACAACATTAGAATCCTTCATTAAGAAATAAAGAGTTTCATCAACTAAAATATTATATTGATTCATTAACAAATTGCATTGGGTAATAGCTAAAGTGGGTAAACCACCAAAACCTAACATAGAAATAGCTGGTCCATAAGATGGACTTGAAGAACTTAGTGAATTTGAGCAGTTGGATACTGTTGATTTGAAAAGGTATAAAACAGCACTACCTCTTGCTGAAATGCTGCCTCTATTTTGATTATCTGTGCATGATGTAAAAACACAATCAGCAAATTTAGCTAAAATATTACCCTCAATAAATAAAGCTGATCCACCTGGTGAGTTTTGTGAGGAATAAGCCCAACCAAATGTTATTCCTGAAACATAGAGTGTTAAAGTATCAACAGGCTCTGGACCATAAGAACTAGATGATGATTCCTGGGATGATGAGGAAGAGGAGGAAGAGGAAGAGGAAGAGGAAGATGAAGATGATGATGAAGATGATGATGAAGATGATGAGGAAGATGATGAAGTGTCATCAAAAAATGGATCATTTAAAACATCATTTTCATTAAAATAATAATCTTGATTTTTTCTATCTCTACTATAATATGTAATTGGTTCTTGGTTATTGCTATTTAAACCATAAAACTGATTTATATCGTAACTTTGCTGATTTAAAAGAAGGTCATTATTATTGTTTGAATAAGATGCCTTTAATAAACTTAATCTATATTCACCAGAAATAATTGTTGAAGCTGGATCATTACTTAGTGATTTTATAATGACAGATTTTGAAATCGGTAAATAAGCGGCCAAATTACAATAAGTACCACTTGCTAAAAAAATTGTACCATTATTTTCAATATTTGCTAAAGCCTGTTGAACGGTTGAAAATGGGAACTCTTGTGTACCATTATTTTTTTTATCTGAACCGTTTACTACATCTACATAAAGTACATCACTTAAATCTGTCATTTGTGGTTTTCTGATGATAACTGATGCAATTTTAAAACCATTACTCGATGTGGGATTTGGTATAACTGTACCAGATGTGATATATCTTGCTACAAAAGTAATATTTAATGGACCTAACAAATCAATAGATTTATCTAATACTACATGCTCTAAATCACCCAATAATAGATTACCATTATAGCTTGAATATGGTGCATTATTAATATAAAGTGTCATTTGGGGACTAATATTAGTTTCAAATTGTGAACTTAAAAAATATTCTAATGTATATTGAAGACTTTGATCGAGTGGTGGTAGCTGTATAATTTGTGTTAATGTACTGACTTGCTCTTGATTTGAATTTCCTGTGTCATATGTGAAATCTGCATAATAATAACCTGATAGTGAATATGCTGTCGAACCACATTGATCATCTGTACAAAAATTAACATTTCCAGTGATTGACCATGGTGAATCTAATCTATTTGCAATCTGATAAAACCCCCAATCATCCACAATGGGGCTCTCCGTCTCTAAATAAAAAAATTAACACACTTATTACTAAAAAAATAAAAAATAAAAAATAAAAAATAAAAATAAAAAAATATATTTTTTATATTTATTTGAAAAAACAATAGTTTATTTTCAAACACTTACTCGAACATTCGTAAGGTTGAGAAAACACATATTTTGGTATTACAACTAAATTTATTATAAATAATAATAATAAATTTTTCATTATTTTTTAAATATATATATAAATTATTTTTATTTATATTAAAATTATAATTTTAATTTTATTTTTTATATAGTATTAATATTATTATATTTTTATTATTTTAGTAATTGTTGAAATTTATATTATCATAGTTTTTATATTAATTTAATTTTAATTTTATTTTTTTATATATACAAATTTATCTTTTTTTTTTTCTAAAAAATCAAAACATTAAAAAAAAAATTTCAACAACAAAAAAAAATTTTAAAAAAAAAAATAAAATTATTTTTTCAAATATTTGAGTATCAAAAACCGACTATCCTTTCGTAAATAGAAATTATATTTTTTTTTATGTAATCACAATGCCAAAATTGATAAATAAAACTTTTTAATTAAAATAAAACTTTAGAATAAAAATAAATTTAGATATTTTAAAAATAACACAACAATGTTTTAATTCTAAAAAAAAAAAAAAAATATAAATGTTAATTGGGGTTAAATTCACTGAAAAAAAGATTAGTTTATATAAATATAATCTTATTTAAATAAATTATTCATTGATAACAATATTATTTAAATTTTCTTTTTATTTTGTGATTAATTTTTTTTTATTTTTTTTCAATTTTTTTTATTTTTTTATTTTTTAAATTTTTTTTATTTTTGGTTTCTATTATTATAATTTTATTTTATAAAAAATGATTAATAATATTTCAAATATATTAAAAACTGCATCAGTTTTGCAAGCTTCGTCAAAACACACTGCCACTGGTTAGTATATTAATATCAAGTTATAAAAAATAAGATGTTAATTTTTATATTTTATTTTATATAGTTATTTTTATGCATGGTTTGGGCGATACTGGCAGAGGATGGATCGACGTAATGGAGATGATTCAAGAAAAAGGTAATGGTCATATTAAATTTATTTGTCCAACAGCACCAATACAACCAGTTTCAATCAATAACGGATATAGAATGAATTCATGGTATGATATCAAATCTTTGACATCCAGAGGTGGTGAAAATAAACACGAAGTGGACTCATCAAAAGGAATTATAGAAAATATTATTAGTAACGAGATTGAAAATGGTATACCATCAGAAAGAATTTTAATTGGTGGATTTTCACAAGGTTGCGCTTTATCATTATATACTTTTTATACACAAAAATCAACAAAGTTAGCTGGTTGTTTAGGTTTATCAGGTTATATGGTTTTGTCATCAATTTTTCCAGAGTTAATGAAAGGAACCGTAAATTTAAATCAACCTTTAAGAATGTTCCATGGTGAAGATGATGAGGTAGTTTCTTTTTCATGGGGTCAAAACGCTTTTGAAACTCTTAAAAAAGAAGGAGCCAATGGAGAGTTTTTTAGTCTTCCATTTTTAGGCCACAGTACATGCCAAGAAGAATACGATCTTATGACAGAGTTTATTAAATTGAGATTACCACCTCAATAAATAAATTTATATATATATACATAGTTTTAATTTTTTTTTTTTTTTTTTTTTTTTAATCCATCAAAGTTAAAAATCGATCAAAAAAATTGGTTCTCATAACCATTAATTATTAATAAAAATAAACATAATTAATATATTAATATTCAAATAAAAAATTTATTGGATTCTTTTTTTTTTTTTTTTTTTTTTTTTTTAATATTTTATTTTTTAATATTTTTATTTTTTGTGTGAGTGGGGGGTAATCATAAAATTATCTTTTTTCAAAGTAAATAATTGTAAAATTAGTATTATTTATTTAACTATTTTTTTTTTTATTTAATTTAATTTTTTTTTATTTTATTTTTTTTTATTTTTTTTTTTATTTTATTTTTTTTTTTTAAAAATTTTTTTTTTAATTTTTTTTTTTTTTTTTTTTTTTTTTTTTTAAATTTTTAAATTTTTAAAAATAAAATATTTTCTTGTAAAACAATAAATTAAATCTATTTTGATATAAAACTAATTTTTCGTTTGTCATTTGCCTTATTTTTTTTATAGACAATCAAATAACATATTATTATAAGACACAAATAAATAAATAGATAATAGAAAATAATTTTATATAAATCTTTTTAATAAAATTAAATTATATCAAAATTTTTAATAATATAGTTTAAAAAAAAATGTCAAATAATTGGGAAAGTTTTAATAATAATAATAACAACAATAATAACCAAAATCAAAACCAGAACCAGAATCAGAACCAAAACAATGGTAATATACCAAGAGGGGGCAGTATCTTTTTTAATCAAGATTCCACTGTTGATAATAGTTATAAAGCTTCACTCACAATAGATTTCCCAAGAGTAGACAGTTTTGGTTTTCTTAGATCACCCACAAGCGTTCTTAGTAACACACCAATTCCAAATACAACTGGTTTATCAGATATTGGATTAAATGCGCAATATTACCAATTAATAGATAGTCAACTACCACACGATGAACAAGTTCAAAAATTACAAAAATTCCACATGGAGCAACAAGAAAACTTACAAAGACAACAAAACCAACAATTACAAAGTTTACAATTATCGAATGGATCCTTACAATATCAAACAACTACTACAACTACCACCACTGCAGCACAACCACTTTTAAATGAACAGCAATTTGCTTTCCAACATATTAATAATTTACCATCAGTCTTTAATAGTAATCCAACAATCACAACCAACAATCCTATGACAGCAAATTTACATAACCCATATCTTAATGCACCACAAAGCTATACTAGCAAAATGAATGCAAATACATATGATGATGATGAGGAGTTAAATACACCACCAACACCACCAGCAGTTGAATGGGATTCACCACCACAGGTTTTTAGACACCCAACAACATCGTTTGGTTCACCAATCGAATATTCAAAGAACGACAATGAAGGTGAACAACCAACAAAGTATCAAAGACTTACAACCGAGAATTCAGTTGAACTCTCTGCTCTAAACCATAAACTTTCAAACGATCCACATTATTCAATTAGTTTTCTTCGTGAACAAACTACCAAATTAAAGTCACAAGCTTCAACCGATGATCTCTCAAGAAATAAATCATTCACCATTAATCACTATGAAACTGGTGTGGATCAAATTTCAATGGAATATTATAACAATTTATTATTACGTTATAACACTAGACCCGAAAATTTTGAAAGGGCCAAAGAAAAACAAATTCAAGTTATTAATGGCAATAATAAACAATACTCTGACGAATTACAAACTTTATATACAACTATGAAAAAAGATATCGATGAAGAAAATAATGAATTAAAAAATTTATTAAGGTAAATATAATTAATAATAATAATTAAACAATAGTTTTTTAATAATTTTTTTTTTTTTTTTTCGATTTAGCAAAAAAATCTTAGAACCATTAGATTTAAGAAAAATAAAAGAAACAATTGAAGGTTTAAAATCACATCTTAGAGTAGTTGAAGTTTTACATAACGAATTGAAATATATTATAAATAGAAAGAAGCCAGAATGTTGTGCAGCATTAATTATTACCCAACAACCATGCTCACAAGTTATATTTAGAGGCGGCAAGGGTATGGCTGATGTATTTAAAGTTCAAATGATTTTTGGTGTACTTCAACCAGATAACATTTCACAAATTAGTGCAGTAATAAATAAAAGCGAGACAACAACCTCAAAGAAAGAAAAAACAACAACGGTGCCAACTTTAGAAAATGCAGAATCACATTTAAATACTCAAACATGGGAAGCAGAGTTCAAAAATATTAAAATTAATGTATCAACTCGTATGACACCATCAAGTCTTAGATTCATTGCAAATTACAAAGAAAAGACCTCGGGTAAAACTGTAGAGAAACAGGTTGAAAGTGTACCAAGTAACCCAGTTATCGTTATTACAAATGAGTCTCAATGGGCCGAGGCTGCAGGTAAACTTTTAATCGCCGATGCTTTCAACTCTAAAGACGAGATCCCATGGGAGTTATTTGCAAATATTCTTCACAGTCATATTTTAACAGCAACTCATCAATCATCAGAGATCAAGAGAAAACTTCACAGTTGGGAATTCGAATATATCCAAAAGTTTTATTTTGACGGTAAAACCTCAATTAGCAAATCCGAATGTAAATCATTTTGGGATAAGTTTGGACCAATTCTTCAAGCAATCCATTTTAAGAGACATATCGAGCCATTATGGTCATCTGGTTTAATCTATGGTTTAATCACTAAATCTGAATGTAACAGTTTCCTAACCAATCTCCCAGAGGGTTCATTCTTAATTCGTTTTAGTGATAGTGTTCCAGGTTCGTTCGCTGTCGCTTATGTTACCAATGATGATTCTGAACCTGTTAAACATTACCTTGTCAAACCTGAAGATATTGGTGCAAATAAAACTCTTCCAGATTTCCTTCGTGAACGTCACCAATTCAAAACTCTTTATCAAGTTGATCCTTCCAAACGTTCACTTCATCCAAAAAATAAAGATACTGAATTAGAACCATTTTATTCAAAGAGAATTAAAATAAATGCAAATGCCAATCCTGGTTATGTTAGTGGTTTATAAAAAAAAAAAAAAAAAAAAAAAAAAAAAAAGGTACATAAAATATAAATTTTAAAAAAAGGTAAAATAAAAATAAAACAAATCCATTATTTTTGTAATTTAATTTAATTAAAATTATTTTTTATTTATTTCTTTATTTTATTTATTTTATTTATTCATATAAAGGTGAAGGTTAAAATGGATAGTTCCAAAAATAGATAAGCTAAATATAAAAAAATAATAAATAAACAAATATGTAATAAATATTTAATCTTTATTTAATAAATATATTTTATTTATAAATGGATAATTATATAAATAAAAAAATGAACTTTGAATTGATAATCATTAAATTGGACTAAATTTACTTTTTTTTTTGATTGTTATATGTTAATTTAATTATAAAATTGTTTTCCAACCTATTCTTTGATATAAATAATCTGGTTAGTAATTCTGTTTTTATCTTTATTTTTTTTTATAAGTTGATTATTGTTTATAATTATATACTTACTTTTGATTATTATTGATGGTTTATGCATGATTATATATTGTTTATATATGTTTTTAGTGTGTTGTGAATTCTGCTTGATTATAATTTTGAGTACGATTGTTGATGTGATGGTGATAAATGGTGTTTATACTGCTTGTTTACGGATTTGGAGTGCGATTGTTGATGTGATGGTTGTAAATGGCATTTATAATGCTGGAATATGAGTTTGAATGTTTATACTGCTTGTTTACGGATTTGGGTGAAAATTGTTGATGTGATGATTTTAAAGGATGTCTGAGCTGCTGGTATATGATTTTGACTGAATTGTGATATGATTTTCTATTATAATATTTTAAAACTTGTTGATTTGAAGTAAGTGGGCTATAGTTATGAAGCATTCTTAACTGTTTTAAAATGGTGATTTAATTAAAGGAATGTGGCTGCAGTGAAATAAAATGTTTTGAACTTTAAAAGAAAAGCGGGGCTCTGATTTTTGGCTATGGTTACCTTGAAGATTTTCGTGCACTTTGTTTTGAATATTGGATCGAAAAAACCTTAATGTTAGATTAGAAACTTTAAACTGAAAACGTATTGATATCGAAAAATATAGAATTTGAATTAAACTAAAAAGTATTAAAGTTAAATATTAGTTTCTTTTATATTCAAATGTTATAATGATCATGTAAATATTTTAATTATAGTTACCTTATTGAATTATTAGCTGCTATGTTGAACTGGAACGTTTAGTATTATCTTGAACCTTTTTTTGCATTTTTCTGTAGAACTGAACTGTATGATGAGATATTATTAAAATTATGATGCAGATGTGGCTAATTTTAGAAGCTTTGGATGATTCGGGAAGACTGTAATATATATAATTCCTTGAAACTTTGAATTTAGCAATGTAACTAATATTAAGTTCTTCATCTATTTCATAAATGAAACATCGAATAAAGTACTTTAACTATTAATTCAATTGCTATCGATTTCAAAAGGTACTATAATTATTACGTCTGTTATAATATAGGTGACCTGAAAGAAAGGAGTCATCATTGTATCTATCATCGGATTCATAGCCTGGATAATCAATATTAAATTCTAAGCATCTAACCTACAATTAAATAAAGAAATAAATTAATATATATTTTTTATTTATTAAGTATAAATATGAATGTATGAATTACTTACTTTAATAGAACGGATTGGTTGTCTGCACAATGGGCATTCTTTTTTAATTTTAGAAGATTTAATAATGCATTTGTAGCAAAATTGGTGGCCACAGTTTATTGTTGCCATTTTAGAGTCTTCTATTTCATCATAACATATAGAGCATACATTATTTTCTTGTTCTTGTTCTTGTTCTTGTTCTTGCTCTTCTTCTTCTTGTAATTGTTTTAGTTCTAGTTCTATTTCTAAAAGTTCCTTTCTTGCTCTTTCTTTACCTAATCTTATTTCTTCTAAACGTTCCTCTTCTAATCTTTCTTCTTCTAATTTTTCTAATCTTTCTTTTTCTAATCTCTCTCTTTCTGCACGTTCTCTTTCAATACGCTCTCTTTCCATTCTCTCCATTTCTTTCTTTTCCATTTCTACACGTGCTTTTTCTGTTTCGACCCTTTTTTGTTCTTCCTCGTCTTCAAATCTATGTTTTTTGAGGGGGCGCATGTTGTGACCAATATAAGTTTGATCATCAGACTCCAATGGTCTCTTCTTCATTGGAGTACTACGAGTTGATTTTGGAGCACCTCTATTATTGAAAACTGGTGGGGCATTTGGTGGTTGTGGGTGTTGTTGATGTGGGCCGGTTGTCATAATTATATTAGCAGAATAATGTGGGTAGATTTGGTTGTTTGATGGGACATGGTAATATTGAGCCCTTGAGAATGGATTTTGTTGTTGGTGTTGAGAGCCTTGTTGGTGTTGGGAGCCTTGTTGTTGTTGTTGTTGTTGTTGTTGGTGGTGGTGGTGTTGTTGAATTTGTTGTGGTTGTGTTCTATTTACTGGAGCAGTATAAAAAATTGGTGTAGTTTGTTGTGGGTAGACGAAGGTGTTGTGTCTGTATAAATAATCGATCCCGGTGTTATTTCTATTGTTATTATTGGTTGAAAATAAATATGAAATATAACCTGGTAAAAAACCGGATAAAAAACCGAGGACTATACAAAGAAGGAAAAATAATACGATAAAACCAATCATTTTATATTAAATTATTATTATTAAATAATGGTGATGTGGGAGGTGATTTACAAATTATTATTTGATTATTGCTAAAAATTAATTAATTAATATAAAAAGTTATTGATATTATAAATTATTATTATTGTGTTGATTGTTATAATAAATAAATAAATGTAAATTATTATTTGTATACAGATAAATTAATAAAGAAAAAAAAAAATAAAAAAAATTTCTTTAAGGAATGAAATATAAAAATTGAAAAAAAATAAAATTGAAATAAAAAGTTTTTATTAAAAATTTTAAATTAAAAATTTTTTTTTTTAAATGATTATAAAAAATTAATGGGGTGTGGCACACAATTCATAGTGGTTGTTAAAATTTTTTTTAAAAAAATTAAACAGATGATTTCTTCAAAAGGAAAAAGTAAATCCAATTAGGGAACTTCACTATTATCAAAAAAAAACTTTATTATTTTTCAAAGATGAACTATAGATTATAATTTATATTGGAGAAAACTTCAATTAAAGTTATTATAATAATATACATTATCAATATAATTTTTAATAAATTTATTAATAAAAAAAAAAAAAAAAAAAAAAAAAAAAGTTAATTTAGGGGCTAAAATAAATATTTAAAAAATTATTAGGGGAAAAAATAATAATGGAATTCCCCATTTTAAATGGATAAAAAAATAAAGTTTAGGTTAAAAAATATGGAATATAAATAAAAATGAGAAAAATAGGGCTAATTTTAAAAAAAAAAATTTTAATTAATAATAAAATAACCAAATAAAAGATATTTAAATTTTTTTTATTTTTTATTTAAAAAAATATATTTTGTTTTTAAAGGAAAAAAAAATTTACTTTGATAATTGTTTTAAAACCTTAATTTAAATGGAAAACTGAACTCTCGGAGAAAAAAATTAGATTGAAAAAAAAAAAATTTTAAAAAAAA